CGGAATGTTATGAACAGCTGAGAACGACAAAACAATAATCATATCGAAAGCAATCTTAAGAAATGTCTGTCAGACCGAGTTAGGCCAAGGTTAAACCTCCGTCACACCACGGTTCGACCTCGGTCTGACCTCGGTTCAACCGCGATCAGACCGAAGTTTGACTTAGACTAACCGTGGTTTTTCTTGGGTTATTTCTGGCAGTGCTGTAGGTTGATAAAACGATCACATAGCGCCAGGCCATTGCAATCTGTTTATAAGCTTATATCTTTGAGAATATTTTCATAAAATGGGAACATATCGCTTCACACAGTTCTCACCAAAATGACGCCGAAGTATAGGTGTAGCTATATAGTCGCATACAGTCCAATATAACATGTCAAGGATTCTAGGAGGATTTCAACACATTTTATGACATTTTACGAGTGCGGCTCGTTTTAAACTTCATTTCTATTCCAAACTATTCAGTCGTTTAACAACGCTTGCAGTTGCAAGATGGTTCGTAATCGTGGCTTCAGTTTTCGACTCTTGTATCGAGTCGTTTTCTTTTTCTTCTGTTTCTTGTTTGCCTGTTTTTATCGTGGTGATGGTGGTTCAGGACTCATCACACGAAAGATCAAAACGGAATCAAGAAAATTGAGAGAAGAATTCAATTGCACGCGCTCAACTCGTAAAGTTTTAAATGAACAAAACGAATCGTTTCCCAACACAACAGAGAATTCTCAACAGATTGATGTCGACAAGACGACGGATGGTCTTTCAGAGATAAAAGGAACAGGTAAAGAAGCAGTTTTTAACTAGAATAACTTCTTTATACAATACCCTCGCTCGTCTAGAATTTGTTTTATCCAAGCAATTTGTTTCATACGGGCAGGTGTTTGTCTACGTTACGTTATTGATCAACTACAGCGGCCGGTTATACGAAAGCTGCATAACACCGGTTTTTTCAATCGCTCTAAAATTGCCCTAATTAAACCTCAGTATTCCTAAATTGAGGATTTTTTTTAATAACTATCTTTAGCAAACTATGATTTCCTTTTCAGAAATTGCAGTGAAAACAAGACGAGAAAATTGTTCAACTACATCACCGCCTAAAAATCCCAAGTAAAGTGTCAAACTTAATTTCTCATTTGAATCAATCCGAATGGAACAGCGACTTCAAGGAAAACATATCCTCGACGAGCCGCAGATTTTTTCAGCCGCAGAACTTCTCAACAAGGCAACACAACCGGAACAGACGAGACATTGATGCAATCACAAGAAGTAAAACAGGTTTGATCGAATGCGCGAATTCTACCTTTACTATAAAATATGAAGATGATTACAGAGTGTGGAACAACTTCTCAATCATGTACCAAAGTGAGATATACCATTATGACCAGTACAGAGTCACAAAGGAAGGTCTAGAAGTTTGTAATTCTTCCAACACTCTTATCCAACAAAGATGGCGGAATTTGATGATCATTGAGAAGGAAAAGATGGCTTCCAGACATTGCAATGTATCCGTGGATGGTTTTCCAAGGCGGGATTACAAAGTGCATAAAAATTTGACTGTTTTCTTCAAACTCACCAAGCAAAATTTTCTACAGACAGATTACGGGGTTATTTTCGGACGTTTGGCAATTTGTTCGGCGAAGCTCAGTCTATCCTGCGATGATTATTTGGTTAAAGTAAAGTACGGGGGAGAATACCAGATTTTGGAGAATTTTTCGCTGTCTTACAACAACAAGATATATAATTACAGCGAATATCGATTCAACTACGAAAGTATTGAGATATGTGCTTCCGACGATTCAAAAATTCAGACGATTTGGAGATTGCAAAATTCGTGGGAGAAGGTGAAAGACGGGTATAAATGCCTTGTCCAAGGTGATCATTACATTAAGAGACCGTTTTACATATACAATATCCAGATCACTATAACTGTACTCAGGAGCGGTCAATATCGCACAAGACATGACTATGAAGTGAAAGACAGCGAACCTTTCGTATGTGAAGGAAGATTAAGACCAGAAACAACAAAGTCAACCAAGGAAGATCTATTAACATGCAACGATTCAATCATCAGTATAAAATACGATGATGAATACAAAGTTTGGAATAACTTTTCAATACTCTATAAGAACAAGGTGTATGATTATACTGAGTATCGAGTTCTGAATGATACCATAAAGATTTGTAACTCCTCTGATGACTACGTACGGAATATTTGGAAAATGCGTAATCGCTGGGTAAAGAGGGTTAGGTCTTTTAAAATTTGTGATGAAGCCTTCCGCTTGAATAAATATTATATGGTGAGCAAGCAGTTCCATGTCTTCTGGGCACACAGTTGTCAATATTTAAAAAAAAATAGATATGGGGTGGTGGACGGTAAACCTTATGTATGCACGAAAATTATTAAATGGACCTGTGTATCAACCAAGGAATATCTTTTAACATGCCATGATTCAGTCATCAATATAAAATACGATGATGAATACAAAGTTTGGAATAACTTTTCATTGCCCTATAAGAACAAAGTGTATGATTATACTGAGTATCGAGTTCTGAATGATACTATAAAGATTTGTAACTCCACTGATGACTACGAACGGAATATTTGGAAAATGCGTAATTACGGGATAAAGTGGGGAATGTGTTTAAAAGGATGTAATGAAAACTTCGCCTTACCTCCTCCTTATATTGTCAACAAGCGGTTTAGGCTCTACTCTGCTGCAAATGCTCAATACTTGGCGAGAAATGACTATGGGGTTGTAAGTGGTAAACCATACATGTGTTTTACAAAATTCAGACCTGCATCAACAGAGTATACCAAGGAAGATCTATTAACATGCAACGATTCAATCATCAATATAAAATACGATGATGAATACAAAGTTTGGAATAACTTTTCAATACTCTATAAGAACAAGGTGTATGATTATACTGAGTATCGAGTTCTGGATGATACCATAAAGATTTGTAACTCCACAGATGACTACATTCGAAATATTTGGAGATTGCGTAATAGGTGGGTAAAGCACTTCACATATTTTGAAATTTGTGAACAATCCATAATCAGAAAGACGAAGCGAGGGTATTTCTCTTTAATGAAAAACGTGAAGTTGCAGGAAATCATAAAGACGTACAAGAGAGGAGATTTCTCTCTTTTTGCGAAACCAGGTTGGCAGAATATCACGAAGAGTAACAGTCCAGGAAATATCTCTGTCCTGGAAATGGAAAAGCTGCAGAAAAAGGTGGAGGAATTGAAACGAAGATTTCCCATTTTATTGAGAGATGCAAAGTTGAGAAGAAGCCCTATGACATATGGCGTAGTGGAGGGTAAATTCATATCATGTGATAAAAAACTAATAGGACGTAATATATCAGATATTAGACTGTCTTTCATAGCACCATTTTGTGCCTTGGCTCTCTCAATTATTTGTTTATTATTGTTGTTGATAGTATATGGGATGCTTCCAGAGTTGCGAACTCTTCCTGGCTTGAATTTGATGAGTTTAAGTTTCTCATTTCTCTTGGCATTGATTAATTACGTAGTGTATTTGTCACTGTATTTACGTGTTGATAAAGAATTGGATTTCCCATGTGGCATGCTGGAAATAATAAATAAGTTTATTTCGTATAACATTCTCATGAATGCTGTTGTTAATATCTATCACTTGAGAAAAACCTTTTGCGGCAATACCTTGGTGAGATCTGATGTAAACAAGTTGAAAACCTTCTTTAAGTACAGTCTCTTTGGTTGGGGTGTTCCTGTCGTTATAACTATTGTCTACATTGTTCTTGTGAAGACGGGAATCTTGAGGTTTCATCAGAATACTGAGGGATCAGTTTCTTGTGTTAAGGATCATAAAATTCCTAATTGGCTGGCTGTTGTTGAAAATTATGGTGTTCCAGGCTGTCTTTTGTTGTACATCATTGCAATGTTCATCTTCACCGCTTATCGAATTCGCAAAAAACTCAGAGGAAGCAACAGCATTGTACACAGATCAAACATTGTCAAGAAACGCAGAAGCTTTGTCTTGTTGTTTAAGTTGTCAACCACTACAGCCATCAGCTGGACTCCTCTTGTATTTGAAGATTTAGTGTCTAATTCTGACCTAATGATAGCATTACTGACGGTAGCGTGGCTTACTGGTGTTTATGTTGGAATTGCGTTTGTGTTCACTCGAAAAAATTACCAGCTGCTTAGGAAGAAATATTTTAGTTAGCAAGGTAAATGTATGAGTGAGTGATATGAGTGACTGTGAAAATATGAAAGTAAAAAATCGCGAAATACTATTTCAAAAATCATATTGTAGTGCATGAAACTTTCACGATCTTGCAAAAATTATCTCAATTATCACGTATGTAGAAGATAAAATGTGTGCAGTTAGAGTCAACAAGCATTGTAAGCATTAATAGATTAGCATGTAAATAAAATGTGTATGGAGCCATTATGCAATACCAGGTCCGATTGTAGGTGGATACATGCACGTATTCCCAGAAAGTTTAATTTAACTGGATTGTGTGCTATTAATACAAGTATATATAACTAAATAAGAAGTCGGCGTTGACATTGATCATGAATTATTAATAATATGTAATTGTATATTACTTAAAAAACTACATAAACTACAACTATGCGTTATAAATCATTGTAGCACGTTCTTCATTAAAGTAAAGTGAGTCAAACTCAAAATGATGTGTCTTTTGTTTCGTGTGGACTCAGTTCGTCAGAGAATGGCAAGCACATTGCGTGTCGATGGGTCAAATTTCAAGTTGCTCAAGGAACACAGCCTCGTACGAATACAGGCGCTTTTTTGAAAAACAATATTGCATTCAGCTACTTATATAGAGATCAGTTCATCAGCGTGCGGCTAGACAAATCACCCCGGTGAACCACCCCAATCACCCTCCGTTCTTTTTTAACAATAGATGCATTCGTGATTCTCAATCATTGCCGTATGAATCCACACAGTAACATGGACAACACCCTGACGCTTACTAATATTTTCCTTTAGGATGGAAATGATTTTGGTGAAACTTATCATGACTTGAAATATGTCGTCCAACAGGTTTGAAGATCAGCCGTTCTATATTCTGGCCCGGTTTGGATAATTTTATTCACACATGTGACCGTCAAATTTTTCCTTGTTTCAGATTATCACAGTCCAGTTGCGCATAGATGGAGCAAAGATCAGTTTTGACCCTCCATTTCGAACTCTGCGTGATGTCATTTTAACACTGATGTCTGAGATAGTTATCAGTGCTCATGAGTTACCCAGGGTAAGAGATCCTACTAGGGCATAGGAACGAATCCTTTTTAAATTATTTTAAATCATTTCTGTAACCTTTTGGTATCAACTGTTCCACTAGGAAATGTTGTTATTGTTATTGATAAGTGTTGGAACTGGTAGAGTTTGTTAGGAGATGATCCTTACTGGACCTCTGGAAAGAACAGTTTAGAACTGATAGAGCTATCCACTATAAATAAAGTTAGTTAAGTTTAGGTTTCCTCCTGTAGTAACACTGGATCAATAAGAGATGATCCTTACTGGACCTCTGGGAAGAACAGTTTAGAACTGATAGAGCTATCCAGTATAGATAAAGTTAGTTAAGTTTAGGTTTCCTCCTGTAGTAACACTGGATCAATAAGAGATGATCCTCAAGGAAGAACAGTTAAGAATTAAAAGAACTATACAGTGTAAACGAAATTACTTTAGCTAAGAATATTTTTAATGTTTTTTAGGTTGAGACAGAGTTATTTCCTGATATGGCGGAGAGTCAGTTATTTTTGCGCAGTGTGGATGTTGATGAAATACTCGTTCAAGAGTACATGGAACAGGCCGTGGAAATTGTCAAACTAAACACTATTGGTCCGCAAAAGTAATTATTTGATTCCCAGATTTATGCATTCCCCATTTCTGCTAAATTGGTCAGGATTTGGACCGTTTTAGGCGTCGAACTTTTCATGCGAAGAATCGAATGCAAATGAATTTAAGCAAACACTTTAAAACCTCATTAACATTAGCTTCCGTGCATGAAAAATTCGACCATTGAAACAGAGCTTAGAAAGACTGAAAATGTGCTAAGATATAATAAAATAATGAATTTGATTTCAGATACTTGAATACGTACAAGAAATACCAAGATCTTTTTAATAACAAAGCTGAGATCGACGTTGCGACATTTCTCGAAGAGCAGATAGCACTCTTGTCGTTTTCCAAGAGAATAGACTCATATCAAAATCTTGCCTCAGAGATATCGTCGTTATATTTGACCGTACCACTTAACATGTTCTGCTTGAACTGTCACGAAGTCAACGCAGAGCTTGCCGAAAGGGCGACCAAGTTGGCTGATAAATTGATTTTGCACATTGTTGATGGTAACAGGGATACGAACCGCGGGTGAGATATAAGATGTGGAAATACTGGAAATAACTTTAATGCGCTAGTTTAGTTGTAATTTCCGTTAGACGAATGTGTGATGGTTTCCTCCTACTGAAATACTGGATCTCTAAGAGATGATTGGAACTAATATTGAGCTATTTAGTATTAATGAACTTAGCTTGGCTTAGGTTTCCTCCTGTGGTGACACTGGATCAATAAGAGATTATCCTCACTTAGAACAGTTTAGAAATGATAGAGCTATCCAGTATAAAAATATTTAGTTCAGTCCAGGTTTCCAGGTTTCCATATTCAGTTCAGTCCAGTGGAGATGATCCCCACTGGACCGTTAAGTAGGTATAGTATTGAACCATAAAACTCTTTGTAGGTTATGTAAGCAATATGACGAGATCTCTGACAAGGTGCAAGAGATGCCTAATAATACAGCAGATTTGGTAGCATTGACACAGTATTTGGAACATGCCAGTACAGCCCTTGTTATGAAACTACAGACGTCAGTTGATGAGGCTGCTGAGAGATTGGTATTCCTGTTGGATTATGCCACATTATCATGTACGTTGCCTGTGTAAGATAAAAAAACACGATGTCACACAATGTTACACGATGTCACACAATGTTACACAATGTCACACGATATTACACAATGTTACACGATGTCACACAATGTCACACAATGTTACACAATGTCACGCGATATTACACAATGTTACACGATGTCACACGATGTCACACAATGTTACACAATGTCACACAATGTTACACGATGTCACACAATGTTACACAATGTCACACAATGTTACACGATGTCACACAATGTTACACAATGTCACACGATATTACACAATGTTACACGATGTCACACAATGTCACACGATGTTACACAATGTTAGTCAATGTCACACAATGTCACACGATGTCACACAATGTTACACAATGTCACACGATGTCGCACAATGTCACACGATGTTACACAATGTTACACGATGTCGCACAATGTCACACAATGTTACACGATGTCACACAATTTCACACGATGTTACAAAATGTTACACGATCTCACACAATGTTACACGATGTCACACAATGTCACGCAATGTCACATAATTAGACGACTCGCACTATTTTACATGGTGTAACCTAATGTTACACGGTGTTCACACAAGTGTAATTATCACACTTTTTCAAAGAAGGCAATAATATTATTTCCATTTTTCCTCATCCAGTTGAGGACATCAAGTTAAACAGCACAGTGTTTCACTGGCCACAACATATCCAGAAAATCTTCGAGCTTAGTCGGAATAGAGTCGGACATCGCCGTGACCTTGCTATGGAAGATCTCAGGAAAAGGTAAAGATCCAAGAGGATACATTTATGAATTATTATTTGATTATTTTATGATTATTTTATGATTATTTTATGATTATCTTATGATTATTTTATGATTATTTTATGAATATTTTATGATTATTTTATGATTATTTTATGATTATTTTATGATTATTTTTTGATTATTTTATGATTATTTTATGATTATTTTATGATTATTTCATGATTATTTTATGATTATTTATGATTATTTTATGATTATTTTATGATTATTTTATGATTATTTTATGATTATTTTATGATTATTTTATGATTATTTTATGATTATTTTATGATTATTTTATGATTATTTTATGATTATTTTATGATTATTTCATGATTATTTTATGATTATTTTATGATTATGTTGTATTATCACAGAGTGAAGGCTTACGAGGAGAAGTTAAATGGCTACAGCAAGGAAGTCGAAGCATTCAGGAAAAAAGAAGTAATTTCTTTTGACTTTCTTTTGTAAGGGCCGCTCGTAAAGTAAAACGGGGGGTTGGAATATATTTGGTGTCATCATTTTTCAGAGCACACCCCCCCCCCCTTAAAACGTTCAGAAAAAAATGTAAACAACATACTCCTGTGAAAAAAAAATTCTGCATATTTTTACATGGCCCCCTCTCTCTACCACGATTCCATGACGGTATTCCCACACGAATAAGAGCTTGATTTTCAATGTTTTACCTTAAATCTTGCTATTGATTAAGAAAGGGCGCTCTCATTGATCAATAATAACTAAATCCTGGGCCACACGTAATGAGTCTAGGTGTGAGTGAGCTTTTTTGAACACAGGCGTTAATCTCGACCCTCAATTCTTTCAAAGTGGTGAATATGTCATTTGTTTTAGATCATGGCAATTGATGAAATGACAAAAAATGTAGAAAAACTGGATGAAATTGAGGTGTCTTTGACCAGTGCCAGAGACGAACTTGAGGTATAAATACACCGGATGTCGGGATATATTGAACTTGTTGATTTAATCAATATTAAGTTGTTCTAGTTGTCGATTTGCTGATATTTAATGCCAAAATGGACGAATTATAATAAAGTTATTTACAAGTGTTTCATTTCTTTACTAGGAGTTAAATAGAGAGGAGGAGCTTCTTGAATGGGAACCCTCTCAATTTCCCGTCCTTCAAGAAATGATCGCGTACAAGGAACCTTATGATAAACTCTGGAGAACCGCGTTCAACTTCCACAACAAACACGAACACTGGCTGAACGGTAAATAGCATCTGGAATTTAGCCAACTTTTCATCACGTTCTCTCATTTGTTGCTAAAAATTTCAAAAATTGGTCATCTTTAGAAAGAATTTCACACTACTGTGATGGTTATACCCCGATTACACAACACTCGATAGACCTTTCTCATAATGACGTCAAACGTGAAAGGCCTGATGTTACACGAAGTTTGATTGGCTCGTTAGTTTTGCGGAGCCAATGAAATTTCGTATAGCATCCGGCTTTCCACGTTTGACGTCATTATGAGAAAGGTCTATTTATCGGCATTAAGGACTGTGATATTCGATGCGATTTTCTTCTTTCGGTGGATGTGAAAGAGCGAATTGTGAATGCTCTGATATAGATAAGAGGCCTTTTTTGAGCATCCGTAACTAGTTCACTCATTCACATCTATCAAGAGAAGAATCGCATCTAAAATCGATGTTGAAATAGCAAGTGTAAACGAGCGTGCAAAATACACAGTTACCGCTTCGTTTCGATGTGTATAGTTGCACTGTCCAGTGCATTGATAGATCAGTGGATCGATTTTTCACTAGGTCCATTCTCCGAGGTGAACGCGGAAGAGGTTGAAGAGGAAGTGAGTGGCATGTGGAGAACAATGTACAAGCTCACCAAATCATTTTCCGACGTTCCTGGTCCGAAGAGAATCGCCGACAGCGTGAAGACAAAGATCGACAAATTCAAAGCTCATCTTCCTCTGCTGCAGACGATCTGTAATCCTGGTATCAGAGACAGACATTGGGATCTAGTGAGCCATATTTAATATCATTTATAAACCCGAGGCGAGGGTGATATTCCAAAGTATTTCACATAATAGACGGATGGTATCCGAGGGTGATAAATAACATTGCTCAAATATTGGGCCGAATAATAAAATATTTGGCCGAATCACCATAAATAATATAAAGGCCCGTTCACAGGATCCAATTTTGTCGGATCCATATCACATCTGATGGATGGAATGTAGTTTGTTATTGATAAAGCAGTTAACGTAAAGCACCAATGCAAGTTAATATCGATCAATTATGAGCTTCCTGGATCTCAAAGCCTAAAAATAAATATCGTGTTTGTCTAGATGAGTGACATTGTCGGTTTTGACATCAAACCCGAGGCAGATACATCTTTATGTAATATGCTGGAGTATGGCCTTCACAAGTGTTTAGACAAGTGAGTACTACTTTCTTACTTACAGTTACCACAGGCCTGGACACCAATGTCAACAACATTTCTCAAATTTTCGTATTTGTGTTCAGACTGGAAGACATCAGCGTCTCAGCTAGCAAGGAATTCTCTTTGGAAAAATCTCTGGAGAAAATGAAATCGGAATGGGCTGAGATGTACTTCGAATTCATCGCGTATCGAGACACGGTACGCCAATACTTTGCACTTGTTTTGAGATTACGTATTTCAAAGTCAGCTCAAAGATGATTATTTTTTACCTAAGGGAGTATCCATCCTATCATCTGTGGATGATATTCAGTTGCTTCTTGATGATCATGTTGTGAAAGCACAGACCATGAGTGGGTCGCCTTTCATCAAACCTTTTGAAGCCGAAATTAAAGTAAGCAATATAGTACAACCTATTCAAATGCTGGTATAAATAGCCCAAAGTATGTCTGTCCAGTTTCTTATATTGCAGTCAGTGACGCACACTCAAGCTTGCGAGCGTGCCTCACTGACCGCAATGTATGAAACTAGACACATACTTTTGGGCAGTCTATCACCTCAAGGTAACTCTTGGATTAATGAATGCATACCCTTTCAGGAATGGGTGGAGAAACTGATTCTCATGCAGGACATTATTGATGCTTGGTTGAAGGTAAACAGTGTTTTCTGGCAATTTTTCGCTATTTTATGAGTTGGACAACCCAACCACCACCGTGAAAATCAATAAGAAAAATTAGCAGTAAGGGTTAATCCGCGAGTAAAAGAATGTTCTCCGTTTTTCCTGCCGAAAAAATAACCGGAAGAAATGTTTTCGCAACGAAAATCTCACCTGGGAAATGGAGATGTTTCGGAATTTTAAAGGCACAAAATATGAGGAAATTTGTGTAGGGTGAATTTGTACCAGTTCCATAAGATGCACATTGATAACCCCCCGTGATTTTCATAATGATCACATTTAGATCAGGAGGAGGCAGTCTATATATTGTCACACGGCTGTAGGAGTCAAACAAAGTAATTTCTTATTGAAATGCGGAGTGAAGCTTCGGTTTGGTGTTTTTCATATCAAATATCCTTTCATTTCTAGTGTCAAGCAACATGGCTTTATCTCGAGCCAATTTTCAGTTCAGAAGACATCATGGCTCAGATGCCGGAGGAAGGCAGAAAGTTTGGCATCGTGGACAGTTACTGGCGTGACATCATGGCCGAGTCCGTCAAGGACACAAAGGTCCTGGTGGCAACTGGTCAGGCCAACATGTTGGGAAGATTAAACGAATCAAATGTTCTTTTGGAAGAAATACAGAAAGGATTGAACGCCTACTTGGAAAAGAAACAATTGTTTTTCCCCAGGTACAATTAGGTTCCCCTAGGTACAATCTGATTTCCCAAGGTACAATCAGGTTTCCCTAGGTACAATCAGGTTTCCCTAGGTACAATCAAATTTCCCAAGCTACAATCAGGTTTCCCAAACTACAATCAGGTTTCCCTAGGTACAATCAAATTTCCCGACATACATTCAGGTTTCCCATACTACAATCAGGTTTCTCAAGGTACAATCAGGTTTCTTATGGTACAATCAGGTTCCCCAAACTACGATCAGGTTTCACAAGGTACAATCAAGTGCCCTCCCCAAGGTACAATCAGGTTTCCTAAGGTACAATCAGGTTTCCCATGGTACAATCAGGTTTCCCAAACTACGATCAGGTTTCACAAGGTACAATCAGGTTCCCTCTCCAAGGTGCAATCAGGTTTCCCAAGGTACAATCAGGTTCCCTCTCCAAGGTGCAATCAGGTTTCCCAAGGTACAATCAGGTTCCCTCTCCAAGGTACAATCAGGTTTCCCAAAGTATAATCAGGTTCCCTCTCCAATGTACAATCAGGTTTCCTCTCCAAGGTACAATCAGGTTTCCCAAGGTGCAATCAGGTTTCCCAAGGTACAATCGTCTTTCGCATGCAATTTAAAAGGTAGATTACTGCTCACAATGTGATTCTCATTTTCATTCAGATTTTTCTTCTTATCCAATGACGAGCTGTTGGAGATCTTATCAGAAACTAAAGATCCTCTCCGCGTCCAGCCACATCTCAAGAAATGCTTTGAAGGAGTTTCAAAACTTGAGTTCACGGACGAGCAAGAGATTGTTGGGATGATCAGCGCGGAAAATGAAACCGTTCCATTCAGTTCAAAGATTTATCCTGCTAAAGCCAAGGTGAACGTTGTGAAGATTAATTTTCTGTGTTTATTGTAAATCAGCCCTTCCTTACTCTATTACCTCCTCTCCTGAATATATCTCTCTGTCTTTATTATAAACCAGTCCCCTCTAATTACTCCCTCTAAAAACTCTGCCTTGAATATAAATCGTCCCTTCCTCTTTCTAATAACTTCTCTCTAATATCTCTCTGTCTTAATTATAAATCACCCCTCCCTCTTTCTCTAATAGCTTCTCTCTGATATCTCTTTGTCTTTATTATAAATCAGTCCTCCCCCTCTCTCTAATAACTCCTCTCTAATATCTCTTTGTCTTTATTATAAATCAGCCCTCCCTCTCTCTCTAATAACTCCTATCTGATATCTCTCTGTCTTTATTATAAATCAGCCCTCCCTCTCTCTCTAATAACTCCTCTCTAATATCTCTCTGTCTTTATTATAAATCTGCCCTCCCTCTCTCTCTAATAACTCCTCTCTAATATCTTTCTGTCTTTATTATAAATGAGCCCTCCCTCTCTCTCTAATAACTCCTCTCTGATATCTCTCTGTCTTTATTATAAATCAGCCCTCCCTCTCTCTAATACTCCCCTCCGATACCTCTCTGTTTTGATTATAAATCGGACCTCCCTCTCTCTAATAACCCCTCTCTAATATCTCTCTTTCTTTTTTAAAAAATCGGCCTTCCCTGTCTCCAATAACTTCTCTCTATTTAATACCGTATGCATAAAATTGGTATCGTTATTCCCCAGGGTATGGTTGAAAAATGGTTGATTCAAGTTGAAGAAGTTATGATTCAAAGTTTAATGAAAGTCGCTGAGGACGCTGTGTCGGGATACTCCAATACACCTCGGGAAAGATGGGTGAAAGAATGGCCAGGACAGGTAATTATCCCCTTCTAGTGCCACTTGCTAATAGAATTGTCTGGGCTTGAAGTGCTTTGATCTGGGTAGCAATGCTTTTTTTGTCATAACACCAAGAACATTATCCCCATAACGAAAATGAACAAACGAATTACACGTTTACTCTCTTGTCAGATTATATTAGCGGTCAGTGGTATATACTGGACGATGGAGGTTTCTAAGGCAATAACTGAAAAAGACGGACTTAAGGTTGGTGGTTAAACTTTAATATTTCCGAATATAGTTGATATGCATATAAAAGATCTCCAATTGTAACCTCTTTCAATCTTATTTTTTGGCTTTAAAAATCCGGCTGATATATGAACACCTACCATAATGGGGTTTATTCTCAGACACATCAGTGACCGATCACTTTGAGCGGAGATATCTTGGTCGTTAGTTTAAGCCTTTCCTTTCACATTTTCCTTTTCAAGAATTATTTGAAAATGAGCAATGAGATGTTAGAGAAGATTGTGTTCCTCGTTCGAGGAAAACTGGACAAAGGAATTCGTGTAACTTTGGGTGCCTTAACAGTTATCGATGTTCATGGTAAGCTGAGGCAGACATTTCTTCTCGAATGAGCTAATATTTCAATGTGTGAAATTCCGTTTTGGTGTTATGTAGTCGCACTCTGAGATTTCCAATCTCTTGGATTTGTTTTGAAATTGATCCATTCAGTATATATAGATCAGTCTCTTCCTGTAAAAATACTATAGAGCACCAAGGACCTCTAGAACAAGAAAGTTCCCGTATGAATACTGATATAGCTATCCAGTATAAACTAAGTCAGTGTATTGGGCAATTCGCATGTTAGATTTTACATGTTAGACAGGCAAAAAGGTGCAAATATACCAAGAGCAAGCATGTTGAAATGAGTAAAGTTTGTTAAACTTCCCTGCTTAGTTTATTAATTTTCTATACTTTTATATTATATTGTATTGTAATGCTTGCGGTGACCGTTTTCGGGCCAAAAGTTTAACACACTGAAAAGTATATAACCTTGTATATGACTGCATTTTCCACATTTTACAATATTTAGCAATTAGCAGCAAAACTTTGCTTTGCTTTGCTTTGATGATATTTCTTGTATGCTTTTTATGCTCTATACCTTGGCAAAATAAAGTTTACTAATTAAAGTAACTCAAACATGCATGCGAATTGTCTGTTGGCTCACCTGTTAATCTCTCGTTTCTTGGTCTTCCCAGCACGGGATGTTGTTGAAAAGATGTACAAGGACGGTGTTTGCGATACGAATGATTTCCAATGGCTCGCACAACTTCGCTATTATTTCGAGGAGAAATCAGTCGTGGTTCGAATGATCACAACAGACATCAATTACGGTTACGAATATCTGGGAAACTCTGGAAGACTAGTCATCACTCCTCTCACCGACAGATGCTACAGGTAGAACCACTGACATATATATATATATTATATATACCTGGACTGCTTGCTCGTCAGCCAATTGGCTGACGCGATCTTTTCATATAAACAATAGCTAAAGACCTCCACATTTTCCAAACCTTCAACACATTCTCTAGAACATTGATGGGAGCTCTGAAGTTAAACCTGGGTGGAGCGCCAGAGGGTCCTGCTGGGACTGGGAAGACAGAAACATCAAAAGATCTCGCCAAAGCTGTCGCCAAACAGTGCGTTGTCTTCAACTGCTCCGATGGTCTCGATTTCAAAGCTATGGGAAAGTTTTTCAAAGGTTTAGCGCAGGCAGGAGCCTGGGCGTGTTTGGACGAGTTCAACAGAATTGAATTAGAGGTAATTGAGCCACTGATAAGGTCTTCACCCATAAACTCTGAACCAAGAACTCCTGCACTTCAAGAATCAGGTCGGCATTTTTGCTAACCTGATTATTAAAAGATATATTCCTTCATGCGTTTAACCCTGTTGAGTTCCCTTAACCCTTACGTTCAGTAAAACTGCAAAGTTTTGTTGAGAAAGTGAAGAAATATGGAATGTATTCATTACCCTTCATTTTCGGATCAAAAACAACTTTTGATAAGCTTTTAGCACTTTTTATTGTTTTTCCCGATCGAAATTTTGACCTTCTGGCATTGAGTATATTAATTCAGAGAGTCATAGGCTGCAAATTTTAAGAATTTGTTATACCTTCGTCTTTTAAGGTGTTGTCAGTGGTTGCTCAACAAATTCACACAATTCAAAAAGCCATCGCGGCACAGCTGAAGACATTCATCTTTGAAGGAACAGAACTGGTGCTCAATCCAACATGCACCATGTTCATCACAATGAATCCAGGCTACGCGGGTCGTCAAGAACTTCCCGATAATCTGAAGGTATCGGCACAACTTCGTTACTTCCCGTGAAACCACGGAATGGAATTACCTACATGAATATTTTCTATTCTGTAAGTGAACAACCGTAAAAGCATTTTACACGTTGTAAATATTTCAGGTTCTCTTCCGAACTGTGGCAATGATGGTGCCAGATTACGCTCTTATCGCTGAGATATCTCTATATTCTATGGGGTTTGTCGATGCCAGAAGGTTAGTCTAATGTTAAATTACCTTCAGTTGTTTACAGCAAGAGCATTGCACCGGCATCGCAAAAGCGTTGGTTCGATTCCTGCCGGAGGATCGATAGTTGACTCATTTTTCCATCAACTCATCCTGGCTTGAATTTGAAGAGTGTATAATTTCACTAGAAATTATGACCCTTTGAACCTTTAGAATTTACCTTTTTAATGTGTTTTTTTTCTGATTAAAACTCTGGCAAACATGGGCCTATTATTTATCGCCAGTTATCACTGTAACTACCATATTAGAATTCACTGTTTTTGACTTATTACAGTATTTTTAAAGGTCTGTTCACCATGATCCAATTTTTTTGGATCCAATTCACTTCTGATGTATGTTTAATAGTCTGTTGACTTGCAATGTATATGTGGACAGCAAATCAACTTAAACCAACGCAGGACTGCTTTATCAATAACCTGACTTCATTCCATATACATACATCAGAAGTGAATTTGATCCAACAAAGTTGGATCGTGTGAACAGACTTTAAGGGCTCTTTAATACGTCATGCTTTTCAAGTGGCGAATGTATTTAGAACAATTGATAATGAGCCATCTGAACTGATTATCACTACAATGAAAGCTCGACTTTAAAAAAGCCTAAGTACAAATGATAACTTATCTAAAATCATCTTGCAAGAAAGCGCTTAATATATATGATAAATTTAAACATACCCCTGCTAACTATTTGTATAGTTTGGCTCAGAAAATCGTCGCTACTTACACGCTGTGTTCGGAGCAGCTCTCGTCCCAGTCTCATTATGATTATGGTATGCGCGCGGTCAAGTCGGTCCTTACCGCCGCGGGAAATCTTAAGTTGAAGTTCCCGGATGATGATGAAGCAGAGCTTATTCTTCGCGCCATTTTGGAAGTAAATCTGGCGAAATTTTTGTCTCAGGTAATACTTGAAAATGATCGAATTCATCAAGGTAAAATGGTGGCAATTTAGTTAACATGAATACTGAAACTTTTTGATTCTTCCAAATAAATGAAGAATTCAAAATTTCCAGCTGAAGCTAAGCGGTCCGTGTTATTGATTTCCTATGCCGCTCAGGATCCAATCAAAATGCTTCATTGGGGAGGATGGACTCCTCGTAACCAATCAAAATGCTTCATTTTATTCATTTTACGGAGTTTTGTAGTTGCACTTCTTTGCCTATAAAATCGCCACTGAAGCAGTATATTCTGTTCTGTAAAAAGTCTAATATTTCGTTTGTTTTAATAGGATGTGCCGTTGTTTGAAGGTATCATCTCAGATCTTTTCCCTGGAACTCCGTGGCCAAATCCCGACTACGGCGCTCTGAAGGAAGCCTTGAATGACAACTGTCGACAGCGCAATCTTCAGGCCACGGAATGGTTCGTGAAGAAAATTATCCAGGTCTGTCTTGTTGTTGGTGCGATTTTAAGGAATAATACATTGTCGAGAATTCTGATTTCGTGTGGCAGAGTTCGTGAAACAACACCATAGAAATAAAGCCTTTGCTCGGCGTTTACTTTTTTATGTAAAGCTTGAAACCTAAACTCAGCAAAACAGAACACGCCTATTGGCGAGTTCTCTGTTTGACAAAAAGTCGGTTAAAAACTGGTCATTTCAGCCAGGAAAACCTCGCGTGTAAGGGCCTCCAGAAAGAGTTGTTTGTCGACAAGAAGAATTTCTCAGCTGTGCATGGTTTAACTTTAATGCTATTTTTGTGTATAGATTTATGAAATGATGATCGTTCGTCATGGTTTTATGATCGTTGGTGAACCTCTTGGTGGAAAGACCATGGCTTTTAAGGTATGGTAGTTAAACGGAGTCAGGGGGGGGGTAGGAATCGGGCGGGAAGGTCCGGACCATCCTCACACTTTTCGTTCAATCCAGTTTTTTATATGCTCCAAAACTCTAGAATAGAAGTTAGGGAAGTTAAATCACCACCTCTTCCCACGCCACGTGTAGCGCTGTGTTACATGTAGGCTGTAGCGCTTGTGTATTTGAGTTTTTCACGGTCAGACCCCCTCCCTCCACTTATTTAAGGCTGATTACGCCCTTGGCTCGAAATAAAATTTGTATCGTACACACACTTGCTAATTTTATTGTATTAATGATGCTCATTTAAATACGTCTTTCTGCTCGTATTCCAGGTTCTCGCCGACTCTCTCGCTGATCTAGAAAAAGCTGGTTTGCCTGAGAATTTGGTAAGTAAGAAAAAATACGTTGAAGATGCGTACCAGCCGTTTATGCTCTGCCTAATCTATTGATCTCAGCGTGGCGCATTTTCATTTGAGGACAATAATTACTGAAGAATTATCTAGTTCAACATCTACAGCACTGAGCAAGGGGTCGCGGAAGATCCTTGGGGGGGGGGGGGGCTAATGTTACCCCCCACCCTCTCCCGCTCAAGGATCTTCCGCCGTCCCTGACTGTAGGCTTTAGGTCGCCCATTAAATCATCACAATTTAGAGAAGATGTTATATTCTGGAGTTTCTACTTGTGGGATATATGCAAGGTATATATTGCTTACGTCTTACGGCCGAATCATCATTCGTTAGGTGAAATACATCATCATCAACCCGAAATCGATCACGATGGGTGAACTCTACGGTAGTTTTGATCCGACCTCACACGAGTGGTCCGATGGTGTTCTCGCTAACAACTTCCGTGAGCAAGCAGCGTCGACGAGCGAAGATCGAAAATGGATTGTGTTTGACGGTCCAGTTGACGCTGTTTGGATTGAGAACATGAACACCGTGTTGGATGACAACAAGAAGGTTAGTTTTAGGGAAATGTGCACATAAATGATGCAGTATTATGTAGTATCACGTATATTATAGAGTCTAATATCACAGAATAGACATTATACCAGAAGCCTCACTCTGCATTTGGCGTCAGAAATTTTTTGGGACGCCACCTAACGCAAGTCAAATACACGAGCACACGCAAGCATGATGGCGCTTAGTATTCAATTTGTGTCTTGCTCATGCCATCCTGGTGTGTCCAGGAACTTTTTCATGGGGGTACAAAGTTCCTGTACACACCAGGATGGCGTAGAATGACGCGTGCGCTTCTAAAAAATTTCGGACACGAAAACATTATCAAAATGCAAAGAGTGAGGCTTCTGGTATAATGTCTATTCTGTGATAATGTGATGTACAGCAGTGGAGGATTACCGAAGAGTGCATTTGCCTCAGCCCTAGATTTTCACCGGCCGAAAAAATCATTGGTCATTTCTTCTTCGAGTTTTCTAATGTTTAATCAACGATGAGCCACCTTCAAATTACTTATATTTTTGTGGGCTGTGACCGAGCCTTATGAAAACTTTGCCCCAAGCCCTGAATGCATTAATCCGGCGCTGGTATGGAGCTAACTAATTTTCATTTTTCTCTCGATAGTTATGTCTGATGAGTGGCGAGATTATACAAATGAGTTCAAAACAAAGTTTGATATTTGAACCGTCAGATCTTGAGCAAGCTTCACCAGCGACCGTCAGTCGTTGTGGTATGATCTATTTAGAACCACACCAGGTAGGAACAGAAATCTCATATTCATTAAATCATGATTTGACGACCGCCTCATACAGGGGCCAGTTGTTCAAAGCTAGGTTAGCGCTAATCTTGGGTTAAAATTTAACCCAGTGTTTTTACGTGCCTCTGAACCACTGTTCGTCTTAAAACGTTAGAAAATATGACTAATCCTATTGGTCCAGAAAATATTTATGAAAAAAGATATTCAACTTTGTAAGCAAGCGATTGAATTGAACATTGTAAGTAATGTAAAGATTTGCTTTACCCCAGGGTTAAACTAACCGGTTTGTGAACAACCGGCCCCAGAAATATATGTGTCCATTGAGGCGAATTTAAAAATCACCCCTTTTAACCCAATAACTTTATTTTGCACCAGCTTGGTTGGACCCCTCTGCTTGATTCCTACATGAACACTCTTCCTCCATCCTTGTCAAAAGAACACAGAGAGACTATAAAGAGCTTGTTTGACTGGCTGATGCAGCCTTGTCTTGGTAAGTGACTCCTCAAATCATCTGAAATCTGGGGTAAACTGTGCCTGTGCCTTAGCTTGGGAGCCAGGGCAAATTTACTTCCAGCAAACATTCCAGATTATACAGCGTTCATTGTTCTCGTAATGCTCTAATATCTGAATAACATCTCTTTAGATTTCCTTCGACACGAGTGTAAGTTCTTTGTCCAGACATCGCCACTTCATCTAACTTCTTCGCACATGAGGTTGTACACGTGTCTTATGGATGAGATTAGTGCCCAGGCCACGGCTGAAGGCTCGGACAGAATGTCAGCAACCCAGGTACGCTGTATTAATTAACTTACATTTAGCTTTTTGGGAAAGCGTCGAAGTTAAGGCGATGAAATTAATCGACCGAAATGTCCATGTTTTTAGATCTCCAGTTGGCTGCAAGGTCTATTCCTGTTCGCCATGGTCTGGGGTGTGGCTGGAACCATCACGGGAGACAGCAGAAAGAAGTTTGACGCTTTCTTCAGATTGTTGATTAGTGGCACTGATAAAGATCATCCCAAGCCTAAAAACATTAAATTAAGCAAGGTATGCAAAGCTTTATCATTTCTAAACTGTTCTTACCAGAGGTCATCTCTTGTTGATCCAGTGTTACTACATGAGGAAACCTAAACTAAACTAACTTTATTTATACTTGATAACTCTATCAGTTCTAAATTCTTCTTCCTAGAGGTCCAGTAAGGGTCATCTCTTATTGATCCAGTGTTACTACAGGAGGAAACCTAAACTAAACTAACTTTATTTATACTAGATAGCTCTATCAGTTCTAAACTGTTTCTCCTAGAAGTCTAGTAAGGATCATCAGTAAATCCTAAAACATAAATTCTATTTTAGCAAAACGTGTTTCCGGACCCAGGCATAGTATATGATTACTACTTCGTGAAGCAAGCCAGTGGCTCTTGGGGAAAATGGATGGATTATGTTGACAAGAAGAAATTAGAGATTCCCAAGGATGCTAAGGTATTCATTAATATCTTTATAAACATCAATAGAGGAGTCATGGGTAAACTTGTAATGAGTCAAACCGAGAGCATTCTCTTTTCATGTGACTGAGGGGAAATATGTTTCAATCAGCTGCGTATTGTGTGCATAACTTCTAGGTGGTCTAATCATAGACAATCCAAAAGACATTTTGTCTTTTGGATTGTCCATGGTCTAATCCTTTGAGGCCCATTTCAGACATTTCAGACTGAGGTCCAACTTTTCATGTACTCAATCAAATGCAAATGAACTTAAACAAAGATTTCAGGGGCCGGTTGTTCGAAAGGCGTTTAGCTTAAACGGCGGATAAGTTGAAAATGGAAAACAAAATTATATATTATACACTGCCCAGATCTAAAATTTTGAGGTGACTATATTGATTTTCCTGTATTGTGATTGGTAAAGATTCACTGTCTCTGATTCACTGTCTCTGAAGTGATAGTCACTGACCGGTGACTATAGCTTTTTGTTGTTGTATTTCAACTAAGAAATTTGAAGTAATTATAAATTCTTATGAAATTATGTTGATTTTTATTTGTAAACACCTCGAAATTTATATTAAGACAATTAGTCGCCTCAGTCTCGGTGTTACAAGCCTATATTCACTTCGTATATATATTCAGCTCAGCGAGTTCGTCGACTAATTGTTAAATAGAAAATAACGTAGATAAGTTCCAATATAACCAGGGAGCAGCGTGGCAGCGTCTTCAAACAACTTAGCATCAAATGCGGTATAACAACTGCCTAAAATAGACAATACTAACTCTCCTGACGAAGGCCCTCTGGTCGAAACGTCGAGAAGTGTTTTGTCTATTTTAGGCAGTTGTTATATATACCACATTTGATACTAAGAAAATAACGTATGATTCCTTTCAGGTCAGTGAGCTGACAATTCAAACTGCGGACACAGCCAGACAGACATTCTTCCTCGACACGTATCTTCCTCATGAGATTCCCATGTTGTTTGTCGGACCAACCGGAACAGGGAAATCTGCAATTACCAACAACTATCTCGTGGGATTACCCAAGGAGAAGTAAGTTGAGGAATGCTCGTTTACACTTGCAATTTTCGCTGCGATTTTATGTGCGATTTTCTTCTTTTGAAGGATGTGAACGAGTGAATTAGTTACAAATGTTTAAATTGGAGCTTGTACACATCAAAGCATTCGTAACTAATTCACTCGTTCACATGTATCAAAAAAAGAAAATCGCAATAAAATCGCAGCAAAAATCGCAAGTGTAAACGGGCCTTAACGTTGTTGTTTTTATGATAGGATAGTTGGACTTATTGCTTAACTTTTTTCGATTGTCTTTTTTTATTTCCTAGGTATATACCTATCAACATAAATTTCTCATCGCGAACAAGCGCTGGTCAAACCCAGGATATCATTATGTCGAAACTTGACCGGTAGGTGATTTTATGCACAAGAGTTTATGCGAATATTGTGATAGTGCTGCTCTAGGTTACCAACCGGATAAGCAAAAAAATTAGCTTGACCAATGTCGCGGGTTAGATTTCCAATTTGGTCAAGCTAATTTCTCAGCTTGCACGGTTAGTAGCTCAGAGTAACACCATCACAATATTATATCACCCACGTCATATGCACTAACACAAGTTATGCGAAAATCTTTTTAAAAAAAGGAAAAATACATAATTAGGTTTTCAAATCACTATTTATAATAACGGTATTTTCCTATGTATTTTGCGACTCAAGACCAGATTTTAAGGCTCTCCTGCAGCTCCAGGATCTGAATAGGAAAACAAAAAAAAAGTCCGCAGTAATAACAATCGTTTAGTCTTGAAAGACGTTTAGAGTTTATTCCTCTTGTGTGTGTGTTTGTTTCTTAGTCGTCGTAAAGGTGTGTATGGTCCACCACCTGGTAAGAAATGCGTGGTATTTGTGGACGATCTGAACATGCCTGCCTTGGAGAAGTATGGTGCCCAGCCTCCCATCGAGCTGCTCAGACAATGGATCGATCATCGACATTGGTATGACAGAAAAGATACGTCGAAAGTGGACCTCATTGATCTGGTAAGAAATGTTCAGAGTACATGTATGTCTCTATTTAAATGTTGTAGGGTATCAGGGTATCGCTATAGGGCAACATTGGAAATCTCCAATCATACCGTGGCAACAAAGTGAAAGAGCCCCTCACACCGTTTCCTGCATTTTCCCTCCCCTCTTTCTCTGTTTTCCTTTACCTCTTTAACCTTTCTCTACTCTCTCCCCCCTCTTCCCACCCTCTTCATTACCGCTACCTCCCACTTATCTCCTTCACTTCTCTCTTCCCTTTCGTCACCCCCTTCTCTTCCCCCACTCCCCTTACTGCCGGCCAACCATAATTTGCTGTATTGTAAATGTGAAAACGAATATCTCTGCGAAATTTTTACAGCTCTTCGTGTCAGCCATGGGTCCACCTGGTGGAGGTCGTAACCACATTACTGGTCGCTTTACGAGACATCTCAACGTCGTTTCTATTGACAAGTTCGACGACAATACTCTGACCAGCATATTCACCTCCATTGTTGACTGGCATTTTGCTAAAGGCTTTGATGCAACTTTCCAAAGATTGGGCAAGGTAGGAGGACCATTACTTCTAGACCGTTGAAAGATGCTATGTCGCTTGCACGTTGGAAAGAAAGAAGAGAGTTATTAGAGAAGGATGCCTCTGACAGCTTAGTTCAACTTTCCTGTAGTAACACTGAATCAATAAAAGATGATCCTTACTGGAATTTTAGGAAGAACGGTTTAGAACTGGTAGAGTTATCCAATATAAATAAAGTTAGTTTAGGTTTCTTCCTGTAGTAACACTGGATCAATAAGAGATCCTTACTTAGAACTGATAGATCCAGTATTAATAAAATTTCTCTCTTCCATTTTTAGCTCATTGTACTCGCGACCTTACAAATATACAAAGCGGCTGTTGAGAACTTCTTACCCACCCCTACTAAGTCACATTACGTGTTCAACCTGCGGGACTTCGCGCGTGTGATATTTGGAGTCCTCCTCGTGCCAGCCTCCCGGATGCAGGAAGGCGACAAGCTGATACGACTGTGGATACACGAAGTGTACCGAGTGTTCTACGATCGTCTCATCGACGACAAAGATCGCCATTTCTTCTTCGATATGATGAAACAAACGGCCAAAACCCAGCTGAAAGTTGAGATGGATAAAGTCTTGGGTCACCTGGTCCCAACTGGCGAGAAATTACATGATGACCATATTAGGTGAGGGGTTGAGTCTCGTCTAGGGCCGATTTTACACTATCAACGTTTCTGTGACCACAGTAAGAATTTGCATTGGTAAATTCTAAGAATTTGTACCAAATATTAGAATGAAATAACTCAGAGTTAATCACTGTTACATTTACTTTTCATAGTTTCTCTTAAATCCTAAAGATTTGCAGTTTAAAAATTCTGTGGTGGTTTTGATCACAGAAACTTTGACAGTGTAAACCTGGGATTAATCTTAATTCTAATATGGAATTTGCATTGTGTATTCTTAAGGCCCGTTTACACTTGCACTGCACCCCTCCTTCACCCCCCCCCCTGGCTAGGGGTGCGCCCTTCCCCCGCACCCCACAGTAAATCCATCCTGGGTTTAATTGCATTGCCTCGCCCTGAACCCCTCCAGGATGACTATAGCCTAAACATTAACCACAACTCGATTCCTAAACCCAAGCCAGTGAACTCTCTTAGTCCACATCGTATTACCCCAATTTCGCTGAACTTTGTGAAAAATCTGTTCAATTCCTAGAGGGTTGTTCTTTGGTGACTACATGAACGTCGATTCTCCTGAGAAAATCTACGACGAGATTTCAGATTTCGCCACACTGACCTCGCAAATGGACACGTACCTGGATGAATTCAATCAAATGAGCAAGACTCCGATGTCTTTAGTGATGTTCAAGTTTGCTATCGAGCATATTTCTCGTGTAAGCAGAGTGTTGAAGCAAGACAATGGTCATCTCCTGTTGGTCGGCATTGGAGGAAGCGGTCGGCAAAGTGCCACGCGTCTTGCTGCATTCATGGCCGACTATGATCTCTTTCAAATCGAAATCACCAAGAGTTATACTAAAACGGAGTGGAGAGATGACTTGAAGAAGATGTTGATAAAGGCTGGTGTTGATGGCAAGCCCACTGTCTTTCTGTTCAGCGATAATCAGATCAAGGAAGAGTCGTTTGTCGAGGATATTAACATGATCTTGAACACGGGAGATGTTCCAAATATCTTCCCTGCTGACGAGAAAGCTGAGCTCATCGATAAGATGCAGAATGTTGCCAGACTCGAGGTTCGTGGAAGTCTCTCTTACTGAATTAAAGAGATATCAGATACCTCTGAACTGTTCTCTTTATTTCCAGTTTTGATGATCTCTTATACCTGATAGCTCTATCAGTTCTAAACTGTTCTTCCTGGAGGTCCAGTAAGGATCATCTCTTATTGATCCAGTGTTACTACGGGAGGAAACCTAAACTTAACTAACTTTATTTATACTGGATAGCTCTATCAGTTCTAAACTGTTCTTCCTAGAGGTCCAGTAAGGATTATCTCTTATTGATTCAGTGTTACTACAGGAGGAAACCTAAACTAAACTAACTTGATTTATACTGGATAATTTGGTCCGTTGACGACTATTTTCCTCAGAGGTCATATACAACGATATCTAGACGTTGGTTCATATTTAATCTTCGTCTTTTCTAATATTTAACCAGGGTAAAAAGATCGACGCCACTCCACTGGCCATGTACACATATTTCATCGACCGTGTTAAAGGCAACCTTCACGTGGTCCTGGCGATGAGTCCAATCGGCGACGCCTTCCGAAACAGACTGCGCATGTTCCCATCCTTGATCAACTGCTGTACCATTGATTGGTTCCAGGCGTGGCCTGAGGATGCGCTAGAGATGGTGGCCAATAAATTCCTGGAAGAAGTCGAGATGGCGGACAACGTGAGAAACGAGTGCGTGTGGATGTGTAAATATTTCCATGAAAGCGTGCGGAAAACATCGGAAAGGTGTGTGAAGTAGCAACAACTTCTTCCTCTTGTTTTTATTTCATTTCATCTATGGCAAGAAACCACTACAGCGCTAGCCAATAGACCATTCCCTTATTAAACTGAATCCTAAACCACACTTTAACCCTTTAAAACCTCTAGAATTTACCTGCATCGAGGATGCTCTTTCCAACTGTACTGATGAATTTTCCTAGTTTTAAATTTAGTTTAATAGGAAATACTCCGTTCACCATGAGTCTCCATTGCTAGTTTTCAAGGGTCAGTATGGGGGATGAAGGCCAGCGCGCTAACCGCACGTGAAACATATCTAATATTATTCAAGCTCTGCACTCTGCTCGTTATTTTTTCAGGTACTATGACGTATTACGACGTCACAACTACGTCACACCGACGTCATACCTGGAACTAATTTTGACGTTCAAAGCTTTGCTCGGAGTGAAACAGAGCGAGATCCTGGGTTTGAAAAACAGATATGTGACCGGTCTGGAGAAACTGGAGTTCGCTGCATCACAAGTGTCCGTCATGCAGGAAGAACTCACGGCCTTACAACCAGAACTCATTCAAACCTCTGCAGAAACGGAGAAATTGATGATCAAAATAGAGCAGGACACAGTTGAGGTCGAAGCGAAAAAAGAGGTTTGACTATCCAGATTGTATTAATTGTATCCCGGTCAGTTATATGCTCTGAACTCTAATACAACTGGAATGATAACTGGGATAATCTTGCCCATATTTGCCGGATCCGAAATAGTTTTTGTGTGTTTGGAGCCAAATTATCCGAAACCTTTTGCTATTCGCTGCGGAAATTTAAAAGCTTTGCCGATCAGATGGACATTCCAAAATGCATAACAACTGCCATTCGGACGAAAAAATGGCAAATTATCTGTTGTTGTATTAATCAGTGTAAATTAGTCCTGCTCGAGAACGTAGAGAAACTGAAAGGCATTGGTTTCAACCTCCCTCCCCCCCGAGTTATTGTTCCAGATGTTGTTATAGTTCAGTGTTCCTCCCAGTGATTCATGGTAAAAGACTTCCACTATTTCTTTAAAAGGTTGTTGGTGCTGACGAGGCGGTGGCAAACGAAGCTGCGGCTGTAGCCAAAGGAATCAAGGACGAATGTGAAGGTGATCTCGCTGAGGCTCTGCCTGCACTGGAGTCTGCTATTCAAGCTTTAGATACATTGAAACCAAGTGATATCAGTATGGTCAAGACCATGAAGGTATTAAAATACTGCTAGTCTAGCGATAATCTCCTCCTACATAATACCAACTGAAATTCAGCCTCTTAGCCATACTAATCTCAAATGTCTTGTCCAAACTCCTATTCGGCTATTCCTAACTCTGATTATATCTCCCTACCTCTAATCTTAACTCCAACCCCATCTTTATTCTTAATCCTAATCTTTATTCTACCACAATTCCTATCTCTAATCCTATATCCATTCCTTCAATTAATCCTATCTTTAATCCTGTATTTATTCCTACCACTTTACACATCTACCTCGAATCCCAATTCTAATCAAACTCTAGTTCCATGCCTAACTCTATCCCTCACATCCAACACTAATCTAATCCTATTATTTATCTTATATCTAACAGTTTATCTATTCCGCACACAAATCTCTAAACCTAACCCCGATCTCTCGTCTCTAATTGTTTTTACTTCAATCTAAAATTCTATCCCGGCTATTTTCTATAATCAAATCTAATCTAATCTAATCTCAAATCATTACCAAAATTCTTCTCAGAATCCACCAGCTGTGGTAAAACTAATTCTGGAGGCAGTGTGTGTAATGAAAGCGTTGAAACCCGAACGAAAACCTGATCCATCCGGTTCCGGGAAAATGATCGAAGATTACTGGGGCCCTTCTCAGAAAATGTTGGGAGACATGAAATTCCTTGAATCCTTGAAGAACTACGACAAAGACAATATTGCTCCTGCTGTGATGAAAAAGATACGTGACAAGTAAGAATCACTTTCTAAGGCTTATTGTGTCTTGCACAAGCGCCTTAATTGTTGATACTTCAAACTTTTATTTCTACTGAATGGTGGCTTAAATGAAGGCGATGTATTATACCTGTGATTATACCTGAGTTTACTGTTTACTTTAGGTATATTCCCCACACCGACTTCAACCCATCCATCGTTCGTAATGTATCTTCAGCATGTGAAGGATTGTGCAAGTGGGTGCGAGCACTCGAGGTTTATGATCGGGTGGCCAAGGTGAGGACTGGTCTACTCTCAGGGAACAGAAGTAGAAATAACCCTTGTGTTTCCAATGTTTCTCTTTGTTACTCTTTCTGTTTACTGTTTACTATTCTCATTGTTTACCTGCTGTTTACTGTTTACTACTATTCTCATTGTTTACTTTCTGTTTACTGTTCATTGTTTACCCGCTGTTTACTGTTTACTACTCTCATTGTTTGCCAACTTTACCTGCTGTTTACTGTTTACTACTCCAGGTTGTTGCTCCGAAGAAGGAGAAATTAGCAGCCGCCGAAGCCGAGCTCGCCGTGCAGATGAAACAACTGAACGCCAAAAGAGCTGAACTGAAAGAGGCAAGTGTCTGAGTAAAAATTCAAAAAGAAAGTTCAATTCAAAAGAATGAAACGCTAGACAGGTTAAAATACTCGTTGTTTACATCAAATGGCTTAGGTTGAAGATAAGCTGCAAGCATTGAACGACCAGTTTGACGCGATGACAACGAAGAAGAAAGATCTAGAAGATAACATCGACCTGTGCTCGAAAAAGCTGGACCGAGCCGAGAAGCTGATTGGGGGACTGGGAGGAGAGAAAGACAGATGGACGCAAGCAGCTAACACTCTATCAGACAAGTATGAAATGACTTGTACGCAAGCGCGAACTATTTCATTCTATTCACAGTATTGACGATATTGCTTCTTGTATTTCAGGTATTCAAAAGTAACCGGAGACGTTCTCCTTTCATCTGCTGTCGTTGCTTATCTTGGACCGTTTACTGTCGACTTCAGAAACGTAAGTGTGATTTTAATGTTACATAAATCTTCGTTTACACGATGCCGGTAGAATTTTACACCTTTTGAGCTTGCGTCCGACTCAGAGACGATTCCGGCATGCTAACCTTTGAGAGCAAAACAAAATTCTTGGAACTGTGAAGATATAACAGTTTAGCTTGCTGGTATGTTGTGAGCAGTTTCGAATGGCAAACTGGTTTAACTTCTGGGGCCAGTTGTATAAAAGACTAGTTAACTTTTAACTGCATGTAGTTATGGACAGAATTGGGCAATCAGAGTTGTGTATTTCTCAGTTAACTGGGATTTAACTATGCAAACCGCCCCTGTCGGCAAAGTTTGAACGATTTTTTACTTGAGTATATCGACATAGATTCCGGCGAGTTATTCGTATATCTCCTATTAACTCATCTACTCCTATCTTTTCTTTACCGTGTGCCATCTTTCTTTAAGGATTGTATTGCTGAATGGATGGAGTTGTGTCTGAAACGTAAAATTCCATGTTCGGAAGGATTTTCAGTGAACGCCACGCTGGGGGACCCTGTCAAGATTAGAGCCTGGCAGATTGCTGGCTTACCCGTTGACTCGTTTTCAATTGATAATGGAATCATTGTTGATAATGCACGGCGATGGCCTCTTATGATTGACCCACAAGGTATATGAGATCTGTATGACCTATATCCTACTTTGTAACGATGGATCAATAAGGGATTACCCTTACTCTTGGAAGAACAGTGTGAAATATATAGAGCTATCCAGTATGAGTAAAGTTAGTCTTTAGTTTAAGTTTCCACCTGTAGTAACACTGGATCAATAAGAGATGATCCTTACTGGACCTCTAGGAAAAACAGTTTAGAACTGATGGAGCTATCCAGTATAAATAAAGTTAGTTTAGTTTAGGTTTCCTCCTGTATTAACACTGGATCAATAGGAGATGATCCTTACTGGACCTCTAGGAAAAACAGTTTAGAACTGATAGAGCTATCCAGTATAAATAAAGTTAGTTTAGTTTAGGTTTCCTCCTGTAGTAACACTGGATCAATAACAGACGATCTTCCTTACTGGGAGAGTTGTATAGAAAAAAGAGTCTCGAACAGACTTTTTGTGTTCCATTTTAGGCCAAGCTAATAAATGGATAAAAAATATGGAGAAACAAAACAAATTGTCCGTTGTCAAGTTATCAGATGCAAATTATGTTCGCACCCTGGAGAACAGTATTACTGTATATTCTCATTTTGTCAATACATCCTATTTTAATGCTACTATCAATTACTACTGCTAAATGCTACTATCCATTTCACTTCTTTAGTTTGGCACACCTGTGTTATTAGAGAACGTCGGAGAGGACCTGGACCCGATTTTAGAACCGCTACTTTTGAAACAAACCTTTAAACAAGGAGGAGTTGAGGTGATTAGCATGAAATGCATTTCCATCCTGGAAGAACTGCGCCATTCCTGATTCAGATTTTTGACAAGCTTCAATGTTTTTATTTCTTTAGTACATCAAGTTAGGTGAAAACAGTATCGAATATTCTAAAGATTTCCGGTTTTACATCACTACAAGATTGCGTAACCCACATTATCTGCCCGAGATTTCGGTCAAGGTAAAAATAGACAAGTTGTGTTATCGAGCACCTTTTGTGTAGGCAAGAAGATGCGTATAGATTACTACAGATAGAAAGAGCATCTTAGAACAAGTAAACTGCAAGTTTTCCCGCGAAATGTGAATATAAAATGCAGATAATATAGCGTTGCATCGCATGAGAAAAAACCGGTTTTCATTTTCGTAGTTCAAAATAAAATACGCGGTAACAAGTGTGTACATTACTCCAGGTGACATTACTGAACTTCATGATCACTCCACTGGGTCTAGAAGATCAGTTGCTCGGGATTGTTGCTGCCAAGGAAAAGCCAGAACTGGAAGAAAAGAAGAATAAATTGATTCTCGAGAGTGCAGCCAATAAGAAACAAGTGAGAACAATTCAATATCAGTCAATGTTCATTGGGAAGAATGATTTTTATTCATATGTTAATTGTACAAAATTTTTAGCTCCAAGAAATTGAAGATAAGATTCTTCAGGTGTTATCTTCTTCTGAGGTATGTTTATTTACTGTGGAAACCTAAACTAATTTTGTTTATTCCGAAAAACTCTTTGAATTCTAAACTGTCCTTTCTAGCGGTATAATAACGAAGTATTACTACAAATGGAAATCTAAACTAAACTAACTTTATTTATACTGGATAGCTCTATCAGTTCTAAACTGTTCTTCCTAGAGGTCCAGTAAGGATCATCTCTTATTGATCCAGTGTTACTACAGGGGGAAACCTAAACTAAACTAACTTTATTTATACTGGATAGCTCTATCAGTTCTAAACTGTTCTTCCTAGAGGTCCAGTAAGGATCATCTCTTATTGATCCAGTGTTACTAGAGGAGGAAACCTAAACTAAACTAACTTTATTTATACATAAATTGCTCTTTCAGTTTCAAACAGGTCTCTCTTTACTATATTTATCCTCATTTGTTCTTTTTGCCAACTCAGGGAAATATTCTCGAAGACGAGACTGCTATCACAATATTGTCTTCATCTAAAGCTCTATCTGAAGAAATTCAGGCCAAACAGGTAAGATCCGTTTTCCTTTAAATGAATTATCCAAAGAGTGAAACTAAACTTCATTTTTCCACCACAGGAAATAGCCTCAGCAACAGAGAAAGAAATAGATGAAACACGCAATGGATATCAACCTGTGGCCAAACATTCTTCCATCTTGTTCTTCTGTATCTCAGAGCTGGCCAACATTGAACCGATGTATCAGTATTCCCTCACCTGGTTTATCAACCTTTACCTTCAGGTGAGAAGATTGTCACGTATTGTAGTCAGCTTGGTAGTGGATCCTGTTATCATATCAGTTTAAGGTAGCTCTCATTTAAGAACATGTACTACCTGTATATGTTCTAATCTTGCTTAACTGAAGCATAGTTCACATTCAAGAACATACATCACTTCTGTGTAACCATGATTAACCCGGCATTATCGCCTGTTCAAAAGCTCACTCACACTCATTGAGTGTGACATATAAATTTTGTTAATGCTGATCAATGAGAAAGTTTTTTCTGAATAGATGGAAAGATATTTATAAGGTAAATCACTGAAAATCAAGCCGCTATTCGGCTGGAAATACCGCCATTGAAACATTATAAGAAGAAGAATAAGATCTCCCACTCAATGAGTTTGAGTGTGAGTGAGCTTTTAGAATACAAGCGTAAGTTTTGTACAACATCAGATCACTTTCAGAACATCAGAACACTGGTTGCCCACATTCAAGAAAGTCTACTACTTCTGCATGATCCATGCTTGCTTAACTCAGCCGTTAGTTCTCTATAATATCAGATTATAACTCGCCTTTAAAGAATATTCTACCACAATATGATTTACGTTTAACAGATTAACGTTCACGAACATGCACTAGAGGAACATGACTAACTTGGCAAACGATTTCTATTTTTTCAGTCAATCAACAAAAGCAAGCGTTCGTCAATATTAGAAGAACGTATTCGATACCTCAATGACCATTTCACTGAGAGCATTTACATCAACGTCTGTCGATCTTTGTTTGAAAAGGATAAACTATTGTTCTCGTTTGTTCTCACAGTTGGTATTATGCAGGGAAGGTTAGTATGAAATACAAGATGACCTCCTGTAGTAACACTGGATCAATAAGAGATGATCCTTACTGGACCTCCAGGAAGAACAGTTTATATAGAACTGATAGAGCTATTCAGTATAAATTAAGTTAGTAAAGTGTAGGTTTCTTCCTGTAGTAACACTTGATCAATAAGAAATGGCCCTTACTCGATCTCTAGGAAGAACAGTTTATTGAACTAACGTTTTGCAATCATTGTTCAGAGGTGACATCGACGATCAAGTCTGGCGTTTTCTCCTCACTGGTGGCGTAGCTCTTGAGAACCCGTATCCAAATCCCTGTCCTGATTGGTTGATTGAGAAATCATGGTCAGAAATCGTACGAGCTTCTGATTTGACAAACCTCAAGGGACTTAAGGATGGTGAGTCATAGATTGAGATTTTCAATGGGAACATAATATCACATTTGATTGTAGTAGCCTTGTGATTGGTGGAAATAAGTATGGTTGAGGAATGTACTCAAACTATTGTCGCATTGTATCTCATTAGATTTCGACGGTGCAAGTTGGAAAGCTTTTTACGACTCAGCATCACCCCATACTGAGAAATTTCCCGGCAGCTGGAACGCACTTTCTGGCTTGGACAGGTTTGTGAAGATGGATTAGATAATGGCATCATAGTGCGAGAAAGTACATGATGTTGTTATAAACAGAGATAAATACAGTGTTTTCATGGAACAATGTCCACAAATAAGAGATTATCCTAGAGATGAAAGAACAGTTTAGAACTGATAGAGCTATCCAATATAAATAAAGTTAGTTTAGTTTAGGTTTCCTCCTGTAGTAACACTGGATCAATAAGAGATGATCCTTACTGGACCTCTAGGAAGAACAGTTTAGAACTGATAGAGCTATCTAGTATAAATAAAATTAGTTTAGTTAAGGTTTCCTCCTGTAGTTAAACTGGATCAATAAGAGATGATCCTTACTAGACGTCTAGGAGAAACAGTTTAGAACTGATATAGCTATTCAATATAAATAAAGTTAGTTTAGTTTAGGTTTCCTCCTGTAGTAACACTTGATCAATAAGAGATGATCTTTACTAAAGAAAGAGCAGTTAAGAGTTATCGGGTAGGAATGCAGTCGACTTGGTAAGATATCTTTTTTTGTCTTTCGTTTCACCAGGCTGGTTGTCCTTCGTTGTCTCCGTCCTGATAAAATAGTCCCTGCTGTTCAGGTATGTTCCCTGTAATCCTCCTGCATCCCAGCATATCAAGAGGAAAGTATCACCATTAACTATGGTTGTTTTCCTTACAGGACTTTATCGTAGAGAACATGGGTCGTACATATATCGAACCACCGACATTTAACCTGGAGTTGAGTTATGGTGATTCGCATTGTTGTGCTCCTCTGATCTTCATTCTCTCCCCTGGAGCTGATCCTATGGCTTATCTACTGAAGTTTGCTCAGGATCAGGGCATGGGGGGTGACAGGACTCAAACCATATCACTCGGACAAGGACAGGTTAATATTGCTTTTGATGTCTTTCAAATGGTGACGCTTTCTTAATCAGCATTTGAAGGCTAACGTAGGCTGTATACAATAATCCGTCATGTTTTGTGTCCGAGCTAGCTGAGAAAGATATCTCAAACGTGGTGGTCCAGTGTAGGTAGTATTTTACAATAAGCTGTCATGGTTTGTGTCTGAACTACCTGAAAAAGAGATCTCAAACGCGATTGCCCAGTGTAGGTAAAATTTTACAATAAGCTGTCGTGGTTTGTGTCTGAACTTTTTTAAAAAATCATATTCTAAACATAGTAGTCTAATTTAAGAGAATCTTCAATAATCTGTCGTAGTTTGTGTCTGAACTATCTGAAAAAAGTTTCAAAGACGTAGTGGTCCAGTGTGGGTAGTTCTTTTCAATTATCTGTCGTGTTTTGTGTCTCATACGACATTAATGATGGTGATTCTCCGACAGGGTCCAATCGCCGCCCGTATGATTGACGATGCTCTGAAGAAAGGCACGTGGGTTGTTCTGCAGAACTGTCACCTGGCAACCAGCTGGATGCCGAAGTTGGAGAAAATTTGTGAAGAGGTCATCGTTCCTGAAGCGACGCATAAAGATTTTAGATTGTGGTTGACTAGTTATCCCTCACCTGACTTCCCTGTTTCCATCCTTCAAAATGGTGAGTCACGAGGTGGCACATGGTGGTGTGATATATGGTGTAGTGTTGTATGATGTGATGTGGTTAATGTTTTATGATGTAATTTTGTGTAATGGTATGGTGTGCTATGGTAAAATATGATGACATAATGGCATGGTGTGTTATTGTATAGTATGGTATGATTTGATGTATGATTGATATGAATATGGGGTGGTGTAATGTGTTTATGGTGTAATGTATTTATTGTATTGTAATGTGTGTACGGTACGTTACGGTACGGTATGGTATGGTATGGTATAATATGGTATGGTATGGTATGGTATGGTATGGTATGGTATGGTATGGTATGGTATGGTATGGTATGGTATGGTATGGTATGGTATGGTATGGTATGGTGCGTGGTACTACTGTTCATAGTATAATGTGATAGATTTTATAGTATAATATGGATCATTTAATGGTGATATTTCTTTAACATACTCCCAGGTGTTAAAATGACGAACGAACCTCCAAAAGGATTGAGAGCAAACATTCTGCGTTCTTACCTCAACGATCCCATCTCAGATCCGACGTTCTTTGAAGGATGCAACAAGCCTGTGAATTGGCGCAAGTTGTTGTTTGGTTTATGCGTCTTTCACGCCTTGGTTCAAGAGAGAAGAAAATTCGGTCCATTGGGATGGAACATTCCTTATGAATTCAATGAATCTGACCTTCGCATCAGCATGAGACAACTACAGGTCTGTTTTTCGGATTATTATTCATTGATCTGTTTGTTTCTTGTGGTTGCACTTGCTATTTCTTAGAGGCATACCCGTTGAGAGAGGTGTCTTGATCTCGCGCGAAAATTGAATTAGCCTTTCTCACGATGATGAATATGCCGCCATTTTCGGGGTACTTTTCAAAAACCGTGAGCGTAAGACCTCGTAACGGCGACTATCTTTAAACTTAGGCTGAATTTATTCTTTAAATGGTCTGTTTATTCTAAAAAAAATGCTTTTGATCGTGAGAAAGGCTAATTTAAGGATCTTGTGAAAGCCATTTTCCAGTCCCTTGAACTGTTATGTTCAGGAATTTTTTAACGATTCACCCTTATATAACGTTATACCTAAGCCTATGGTCTGATTTGTGCTGATTGACTGATGTGTACAATTACAATGTTTTATCATTATTCCCACAGATGTTCTTGAATGATTACGAGCACCCCCCGCTGGACGCTCTTGTTTACCTGTTTGGCGAATGCAATTACGGGGGGAGAGTAACCGATGATAAAGATCGACGCTTGTTGCTTAGCTTGCTGTCAATATTTGTCTGCGGTGACATCATTGAGAACGATCTCCACAAGTGAGCGCAAAGATGAATGCTTAGAAATTTAACTTCATTTTCGTCTGATATTAATTCTGAGTGATTCTTTTTTCAAGCTTTTCTCAAAGTGGGACATATTATTGTCCTAGCCACGGACCATATGAAACGTATTTAGAGTACGTGAGATCATTGCCGCTCAATCCACATCCTGAGGTCTTTGGCCTTCACGAGAACGCTGATATCACAAAAGATCAGAAAGAAACAAATGAGGTATGGCCACTGAACTCTTACTCCATCCACGTGTTATTCCATTTGTTCACACTCCACCCGTATTTTTTAGTTGTTTGATTGTATTCTGCTAACATTACCACGGCAATCAGGAGGAGGTGGAAAATCATCTGGAGAGATAATGGAAGAACTCGCCGCGGATATCTTGTCAAAGTTCCCGCCAAGGTTTGAACTCGAAGACGTCATGGAGCGGTACCCAGTCCTCTACACGGAGTCAATGAACACGGTCTTACGACAAGAGCTAATACGATTCAACAGACTCACAGACGTGGTTCGCGCTACGTTAGTTAATTTGCAAAAAGCCATAAAGGTAACGGTCTATTACTCACACCGTAACAACTGCATTAAAGAGCGCGTTCAGGAATGATATAGACATCAGCACGCTTACTCGGCATGACCACTGATCTATATTGAGATACTGAAGGGACTAATTTTTAGTAATCTTTTGCGTCGAATTATGAGGCCGCGTACCGTTCATAACTCATAGATCTAAATCATTAGAAATAATATACAAATAGTCCAAAAAAATATGCTGGGTGTTTATCCTCTTGCTAAAAGAAGATTTTTACACCAAACAGCAATTTTCAATAGCCTCAGTTTGACATACAACCGGACGTGTAGGGTCAAATATTTCAGCTCAACACCACAAAAAACTATGGCCATGTTATCCATCAGTTATCGCTCCAGTTGTATTAGAGGTCTTATATTAGCACTTTGGGCTTGCCATCACCTCTAAACTAACCAATCTCTCTCTAATCATTTGCACTAGGGTCTGGTAGTGATGTCCGCAGAGTTAGAAGATGTCTTCAATAATATGTTGGTCGGCAAGGTACCAGCCGTTTGGGCCGCAAAATCTTATCCATCTCTCAAACCTCTTGGCAGCTACGTTTCTGACCTTCTCGAAAGACTCGCGTTCTTCCAAAAATGGATCGATGACGGGACGCCAAATGTGTTTTGGATTTCTGGATTCTACTTTACACAGTCCTTTCTCACGGGTATGTTTAATAATCTCTTAATGATACTATCCTTCTTTTGTTGGATGTGAACGAGTGGAAATGTTACCAATGTTCATTTAAAAGCACTTACACTCGAGGGCATTTTACTATTCGCTTATTTGCATCTTTTGAAAAAAGAAAATCGAGGTGTAAAAAGCTAGCATTTCTCCTATAAAAATGCTATATGTTCTTGCTCAATTTATAAAAATGCAAATATGTCGATTTTTTAGGTGCGCGTCAAAATTTTGCTAGAAAATACACAATTCCCATCGACTTTGTTGGCTTTGAGTTTGAAGTGATGACGCAGGAGACAGATATGGATAACAAACCAGAGGACGGTGTTTATGTCAGGGTAAGAACGGTTAAAAGGTTCTACACACTGCGGCATTAAAATAAATATAAACTGTGGTGTAACTGGAAGGCTCGCATCTGATATAGGGCGACTGATTGGAGTGACTCCAAATTCTGACTCCAATGACATTCAAGGCCCCGCGAGACACGTGTTTTTGTCTCGAGGCTGCGCGTGTTTTTATTGGACTTTCTCGTAGTCGCGGGATTCCCACGCGTGTCTACACGTCACTGACTTGGCTTCTCTTTTCCTCCTGAGTATCGCTTTCCAATTATTTTCATTTCATCGCAGTCAGCATCAAAATATTTGACCATATAGTTAGGAATAGAAAATAAACATGGTCAGGAACCAAATGTCAATGTTTTTGTGATACTTGTTTTGTTTAGGGATTATTCCTTGAAGGTGCAAGATGGGACCGGCAAAAAATGGCATTAGGAGAGTCGTTACCTAAAATACTTTTTGACACGTTACCTATTGTATCCTTTTTATTATATGGACAATTGTATTTAGTACTGTCACTGCCCCCATAACCCACAAAGTGATAAGAAGAAAGTGCATTATCCTTCATTGAGTATGCCCCCACCCCTCCCCCCTCGACTCAAACTTGTTCCCAGTGCCTCTGCGAGGCTGCGAGGAAAGGCGGGAAAATTTGTTTTTGTATTTTTTTTAAATTGCAATTTGCAAATGGCGTCTCTTCACGGGGAGTTTCTGCGGCCGAAAAAAGCAAAGCGAAAACACAACAAAGAACTGTGCACGCACTGGGGTCTGCAAAGGTTATTTTACAACAAGATACAGTAAGAAAATTTAAATCTATTGTTGTATTTTGTTTGAGGCTTTTGACTTTTGAGCGTTCTTTCCAAAAATGTTAAATTTCGTACAATGTATTTACGGTTTACCGTTTAGTTTAACTAAACAAAACATTTAACTAAACCGGTGGTGCAAAAAGATATTGATTTATGTCACTCGAAAATAAAACAGTGGCTAACCGTGAAAAATCCACATAATTTGCCAGTGGGCATCACGAATTTTATGTGAAAGCTCGGACCTTTTAATGTACCGGGTTTGTTGCATATTTGAAAGTCTGTTAAATTACGAAACTTCTAAATTACATAAATCCTTGTCCTGAAAGATGTCCACTATTTACCATGCAACCTCCTTACACAAAGGTTATAAAAAAGTTGCATTCAGCTGCTATATAAAGATCAGCGGCCAAGGAAGCAAGCGCGCGGGGGTTTTGGGGTGGGAAGGAAGCTTCATTCCTTTGTCGGATGTACCCTTAGCACCACTGTCTACCTATGATGTGGGATTTGTTCTTCTTGCCTTGTAAGAATTTAGTCCATAGTTCGAAAAATAGTCAATCAATAAAAAAATGACTCTTGTCAGTTCTAACATGGAATGACTTCGCTGAGACATCTCCTCACTGGCCGGAATATACTATTGTATGTCTCCATTCAATGATCACACCTTAACTTAAAGTGTTCAGATGTGGGTAAAACCTGGTGAAAAATCTCAATTCAAAGCAAAAGCTACCTACCAAGCTCCGGTATATAAGACCAGCGGTCGTCGCGGTACTCTCTCTACCACGGGCCACTCCACAAACTTTGTCATGTTCGTTCAACTTCCTTCAGATGATCCCGAGCGTCATTGGATCAACAGGGGAGTGGCACTACTTTGTCAGTTGGATGATTAAATAGCTCACCAGATATTCCTCTACAAACGTTTTCTGATAACTAAACTTTCTAAGTACAAACTCAGTTTTTAACGCGTGCATACACTTTGGGTGCCCAAAGCATTCCTATATTCGAAAAATGGTATAACTCGAAGCGTCCGTATATTATATATATATTGTATGATTTTTGTATATATTATTTTACAGTAAAATACATAGTTCTATTTATAACGAGAGAGTACAGTATACAGCATAGTCATTCTAGTTGGTTATTTATCTCAAGAAACTAATAGACAGTGTTGGAAAAACATTGTTTACAACGATGATAGTTGCCTTGTTTTAAATACAGGGAAATATCAGCATAGCCCATTTTCCACTGGGCGAATTTATTCGCGCGATGCGAAGCGATATCTGAAATGTTGTCCTGTGATTGGTTTGCGAAAAAGTGGAAAACAGGCTTTAATAACAACGCGCGTCTTTCCCGCGCGGGCAAAGCGGACTGTATGTTCCCGATGCGAGAACATTTGTACATATTGCATTTTATTAAAGGGAAAATAGTCAGCTAGGAATACACGGGAAACATTGTTTCCGCAAACTAAGTCAACCTTGGGAAAAGATGAAATGTTTAAGAGTCTGTTAGAAACATTTCGACTTTTCAGAAAATTTATTTTGTTAAATTTTGTTTCCACAACATTGTTTCTACGGGATTGCCAAAGAAAGAAAAATTTTAAGGAAACGACGCTCTCATGAATGGTCATCTGGAGTCTCCAGAGTTTTTATATACTTTTGGAGAAAGGAAGACTGGGTCAGAATGCCCATAAGGCTTTGGGAGCTTGGAAATTTCTTTTCTCAATTCTCGCAGTTTTGAAAGAACCATCATGTGAGTAAAGTGCTTTTAAATCTATTTAAATCCTATGTTTTTAGCCGTAGTTGTCGTTTTATTTTTTGTAGATCTATTAGATATTGTATTTTTCTTTGTGTTAAGATGCTTTTGAAAAAAAATGCTTTTTTAAACGTTCCAGAAAACCGAGTTGAAAGCAGCGTGTTTTGTAACGATTTACAACTGAATGAACAATCTATAAATGGCACTTTTTAAACATTTTTTCATAGAATTTACTATATTTTTTGTATATAAATAATAGGATACAGTAATATATAGTATAGTAATATATAGTAATATAGTAATTTATAATAGTATGCATACCATCAAGTCCATCATAGCTCACAGCCTCACACACAAAGCAATCTAATTGTAGATATATGGATCTATTGTATATTGTGAGGAAGTTACCTTTCAGCCCTTCTTTCAATTGAAGAGTGAGGTAATAAGAGTGATTCCTATTTACCCATCTCACTAAAATCCCTTATTTCTTTTAGCAATGGCGGACGCAGCACCAGCCGGTGGTGGACGAGGTGGATTTGGACGTGGAGGTTTTGGTCGTGGAGGACGAGGTAGAGGACGCGGGCGAGGACGTGGTCGTGGGCGAGGCAGAGGAAAACCCGATGATAAAGAGGTTAGTTGCTTGAAAATAACAGTTATTCTTTCACCTTTGATTCCTGACTAATGAATGTCATATTTTTTAAAAAGTGGGTGCCTGTGACCAAATTAGGACGTCTGGTGAAAGAATTGAAAATTAAATCATTGGAGCAGATTTATCTTTTCTCATTGCCAATCAAGGTATGTTTATATCAGTTGAATATTATTCTCATTGTTTTTCTTTGGAACTGATCGTTTCTCAGAATAACCCATTCACATTTATTATTCTAGGAGTTTGAAATAATCGATTTCTTCCTTGGTGCGGCTCTGAAAGATGAGGTTTTAAAAATCATGCCAGTTCAGAAACAAACCAGAGCTGGGCAAAGAACTCGTTTTAAAGCCTTTGTTGCGATTGGTGACCACAATGGGCATGTTGGTCTTGGGGTCAAATGCTCCAAAGAAGTTGCAACAGCTATCAGAGGTGCAATCATTTTGGCCAAGCTGTCTGTCATTCCCGTACGAAGAGGTTATTGGGGTAACAAAATCGGTAAACCTCATACTGTGCCTTGTAAGGTGAGTAATAGTCACCTTCCGTATTATTAAGTCAGAAACCGCTGATAGCTTTCAATGATGAAACTATTCTCTGCCAGTTCTGCTTCTGATTGTCAGTGACGATGCAAGAGAAATAATTTCTGAGTAATGCTGATTTTTTAACATGTAGAGGCATATTAGCACAAATTACCTTTAAGGTAATTTTTTTACCTTGAAGTGATGTTACATTTCAAATCTTGCATGTGGTAAGGTAAAACAAGCAAAAATGTTGTACCAGGCACACATTTTCATTCATCTAAATGAAAACTTTTTGCAACAAGTATAATGTGAATATTCCTTAATAATTCCTTTGAAATGTAGGTTTCTCTGTTGACAAGCTTTTAATGTTTACCTTTGACATAATAATTTGCTGTTTTTAGGTAACAGGTAAATGTGGTTCAGTCCGTGTAAGGTTGATTCCAGCCCCTCGTGGTACAGGCATTGTATCAGCCCCTGTACCCAAAAAGTTGTTACAGATGGCAGGAATTGATGATTGTTATACATCTGCCAGAGGTGCAACTGCTACCTTGGGAAACTTTGGTAAGTATCTCAAGTAAAACTGTTATTAACATGTTATTGAAAATAAATTCTTTACTATGATAACTGACATTTTACCACAATTGTATTCTTTAGCAAAGGCAACATTTGAAGCTATTGCAAGGACTTATGAGTACTTGACACCAGACCTTTGGGCTGAGAATAAGTTCAGCAAGGTACCATATCAGGAATTCACCGATTTCTTAGCAAAACCAGTTTTGCCCAAGGTTGCACCAGCAGCAAGTCAACCAGAACAACCTGCTGCACCAGCTGGGAAGGCATATTAAACCCTGATTGGACTTGAGTGTAGATTGAAAGGAAAGTAAACAAAATAAAAGCTTCCTAAAATTATGTTGTTTTGTCCTTGTTTTCCTCCCACCTGAACATCTTTAACATACTGTTTGACTTGATGGATTGCCCAGCAAAGTTGTCCCACCTAAACATGCCCTGACCAATGCAGTTCTCACTCCTTAAACAGTTTCCTTGCTTATAAGTGCAAACCAGTATCATCTGCAAATCTCTGAATATTAGAACAAAATTGCAAAGGTAAGCATTTGATACAACTAAAATTGTTTTTGGATAAGCAATTTAATGTTCTGTTTTAGGAAACTATTAAGTACATCTGTATTCTTTACATATATAACAAAATTCACTCTGATTTATGTCTATATTAGTTTGACAGTTACAGAACTCCAATGTTTAACTGTTTAGTTAATTATGGTGGAGTAGCCATACATTCTTTGCACACTAATTGGCAGATTAAACTGGAAATTATTAACAGCATTGATATAAATATGAACAAAAGCACTTGCATTATCACCTGGAGATAATAGTATTAAATGACTGGTTAGGTTGTAACTATAGTTAGTGAACAAATTGGACGATTACTCGAATTATTAGAATTGTGTAGAGTAAATTTAACCATTCAGATTGAACATAGTTAACAAGTTCCTGTATTGCCTAAAAGTTTATGGAGAAGAGATCTTGTTTCCTTTGTGCATTGGGCTAGTGCCATTGATGGATGGCAAAACATAGTAATACTGAGTTGAGGCTCACATTAAATTTTCTGCTATTCCAGTAGAAATTCTGTATATGATAGCTTCAGAAATGTTGGTGAAGCATTTGAATGTTATTTTAATACATACAAAAAATTTAGAAGTAGTATCTATCTGCAAAATTCCTACTCAACATCAGAGAAACATTTAACCAAGTTTAACTTGGCTTTATAATTTCTAATCAAGATCCTCTGTCTTCATTTCAACTGATGATGTTGTTGCTTCCTCTGCTTCATCAGATGTAAGACCTTGAAGAAGATTTCCTAAAGAAATACAAACATTTTATAAAATTTCTTTATCAATTTAAAAATACCCAAACAACTTCCACTCACCAAGAAAATTGTTCATGCTTGGTTCCTTTGGCTTTGGTGTTAATCCAAAGAACAATTGCCCAATTTTGTCTAAATACTAAGGGAAGAATGACAAAGTACATAGCACATTAGGCAATGAGGCATGTTAAAACACCAATGAGTCAGATGTCATCACTGACTATGATGCAATCTTACCGCCAGATAATTTGGATCTCTGTTTAGGGAAGGGTGATATTTCTCACATAATACTGTGAATTGGTTTATCGTGCCTTTCCTAGATAAGAATATGTTAAATTGTTGTGTCAACTTGAGAATACAACCAACTGTTGAGATGCTATGATTTCAACATGACAAAACTTAGATTTGGCTGATTACCGGTCAATAATTATTAACAAAATCCAGAGAAAGTTCAATAATGGTTTCTCAAATGGTGGTCCAATGCCAGAAAAATCTGGGTGATGACCTGTGTACCGAACAAACACACAATGAGCTGTTGAGGATCTTTTTAGACATAGGAATCTGGAAATTTGAAGAGGAAATGCAGATTACACTAGAAATTGCATATTTAAAAGCAATAATGCACAAACAACTTACTGTAACACAGCTTGTGCTACGAATAAATCAGCTTCACTAGGGTATCCACAGGTAACAGCATATTCAATCAGCATTGTTGCACACTGTTGACCACTGTTTGCATGAAGAAAGTGTGACTGTGCTTCACCATAATTGCGTTCTGAAAGAATAGAGTCAAATCAAATTGATTGTTCAACACACTGATCATAGGATTATAAATATTACCCTTCCAATAAGTCTCTGCACATAAAAGATTTAATCTTGGATGTCCAAATGTCCATTCCTTACTTTTCTTTGCCGTCCAGCTAAAACGGAGGTGAAAAACTAGAAACTTTTTCTCATTTTGTGTCTTAATTGATATTATGGTAAAGGAAACCAAAGAATGCAGTTTTTAGCATGCAAAAGTACCTTAGTGCACCATCTATAAACTCATGTCTGTTAGCTGAACAAGGTTTAAAGAGTAGAAAATGGGCAGTTATTTTCTCTAAAATCAAAACAAAATAAACTTAGGACTTTGAAAACTTGTTTCATATAGAACAATATATAGGAATCTAGTGAGAATTGCCTGAACTAGCTGTTTTCTTTTCTCAATACAGTACCTAATGTTTCATCATTCACAGAAAAATCTGCTTCTTCAAAACATTTTAACATAAGTTGGCATAGATCTAATCCACTTTCCTCCTGTGGGTAATAAATTTGTTTTAGCACATATTGGCAGAAAATAGGTGATTCTGATAATCTTAAATCAATATTTCAAAAAAGTTAAATAATTTGACCTGGCCATGATTTAATAGTACAGTTGCACCATCATAAACTAAGTCAAGTGCATCTTTGTGTTTGGTTTGACTCATGTACCTTGAACAAAAACAAAAGTCTGATTTAATCTACAACTCATGAATATGCTATTGTGAATCAAAGTTGAGTTTAAAAAATATTTAGCGACAGTATGCCTTCTGATAGGGATAAACATATCTGTGATTTTGGTCACCATTCACTGCTTGGGCCTATTTTAATGATTGCAAAATTTAGCCAAGTTTGCTAATGGACCAGCAATTGCTTATTTGCAATACGCATTATTATATTTTAGGCAACCTCTACGGCATTTATCTCAATCGCAAAAATGTCTCTATAGAAGACAAAAACACAACAATATCTAATTTCTGTCACATTTCCTGCCAATTAAAATTCTTAAACAACACCCTCTCAAACAACCAATTACCAAAAAAAATGAGGCATATTACAGGAACCACTTTCTCTAACCAACTAGCTAGAAAGTTTTGTCAGGAGATAAATCACAAGTTTAGTCAACCACAAGTATATTTTAGGTATACATTAAAAGGAAATTGCAAGTTGTGTTTCCGTTCCATACTGTGACAGTAAGAACAGGGACAATATTTATTAACTGCAATACTATAAGTTTACAAACTGCGGTATTTTCGCATGTTTTATTATAAAAGATGTGATATTTTCGTATATCAAAGGGTGGATACGGTATTGTACAATCATTGTTAAATTGCACAGCACATCAAAATTTTCTATTTGCAAACTCACAAACGCAAAACATAAACAGGTATTGTATACATTATAATGTACGTGTATTAGAACAGGTGTGAGTGAACTTCATTTTAGTCCGAGTAAAATGACCAGGAGTCACTAGACTGACATGTAATATCCCACCTAAAGTATAACGTCCTTATCATTTGATGAGCTTCGTAATGGTCGCCGTCTTCGATGGATTTTTGAAGTTTTGAAAGTACTCTTCGCGCACCACGATTTAAAGTTTCAGCCATTTTGTAACTTCCCTAAAATTCTCGGGGGGGGGGAATGCGGGAGACAGCAAAACTGATCTCAAAATATCACTGTACTATGCTGGTAAAAATTTCATGTCGCGATCGAGTTCACAAATATATATAAGCAGGCTAAAGTAAAATTGCTTTAATCCTAAACCTTAATCTCGCCCTTCCCCAACCACTAAAACAAAAGATTTAGATTAAGGATTGCGTCCGTGGACTCAGGTTATGGAATTATTGGTATTAATTTTATTTCCGAAATCCACGAATACAATCTTAACCTTAATTCTAAACCTGATCCTAACTCTTAAGCCTTGCAAACCAATAGTTCCAATAATTATAACCAAAAATTCCACGTCCAGACTCAGAATCCACTTATTTAATCCTTAATCTAATCCTTTAGGGTTAGTGCTTGAGTAAGGGTTAGGGTCACGTTTAGATAAGATTATAATCGGGCATGAAATTTTTACTTAATCATCACTGAATTATTGTTATTAGTTGTCATTAGTGTTATCATTGTTTATGGCGTTATTTACCCAAAGATCTGTCATCTGCGCTACGCCCAGTGAACCACAGAACCAGTCTCTTTTTTGCGCAATTATTGCGTAAGAATTACTTAATTGGCTTATTAATTACGTCACTAATACTTGATCTTTACGCATGCGTAGTGAAATTTGCGTGGTAGTGTGGTTTGATTTTTACAGAGAAACGGAAAATTTTGTGTTCAAATTTTAGTTGAGAATTCACTCAAAAAATTGTACAAATATCACATTTGAAGATGAACTTTTGAACAGCAGGTGTAACCCACTCTTTCGTGTGAAAGATGGCGGTTTTAAAGGAGAAAATACAATTGTTTTCAACGATATAAATGTGTTTGTTGCTATCCAACGACGATACTACGTCCATCTTTATTCGGGCGAGCTGAATCGCTTTTGCCACCTTTTACCCCTGGCTTTTGGCTCACGTCGTTCGTGTATGAGTTTGCTGAAGATTGCAGTTTGAAGATATTCAACTTCTATTGAACAATGTCCGTCGTTCACTACAAATTCAAAAACAACTTGGAGTACAAAACCATATCCTTTGATGGACTGTCCATCTCTCTTGGAGATTTCAAAAAGTCCATTATGTCACAGAACAAGACGAAATCCTCAGAGTATGACTTGGAAGTCACGAACGCACAGTCTAAAGAAGGTATTGATTTCTTTCGACTTTAAACAGCACCGTGGTTCGTCTTTCAAGATATTTTAACTTCCTTCATTAAAAAAAAAGGATTTATATAAGTGTGTCTCACGCCATGTGGCATAAATTGAGGCTTTGAAATTTTTTCCCAATTCATATTATTCAAATTTTATAATTCATATTAACTGTGATTTCGCATAGTTTTGGGGGGGTTATGCGGACATTTCTTTCCCAGGTGAAGTTTTTGAAATCTGTGATAAATATTGTTGCAATATTTCAAAAACAACAAGATCTAAGGATATATTTCAAACTGCATCCTTAGTTGGATATCCTGCTCAGAGTGTCTTTATATAGATCTAAGCTGCCCTACTTGGCAATTTATTTATTGTAAAATGTCTTTTTTATATATGATAGCTGCTCACTTTTGAAACATGATATTTGATTGTAGCCAACTATTACTGTCTATTAGTCTTAGATGAGAAAAGCTAGTAGGATACATTTAATATTGAGAAGAATTGGTGAATTTTAGACAAAGCAGTCTTACTTCAACTAAACATATTTAGAAATAGGAATTAAAAATAGGAATAAACAGGCAATAATGTTTCTACAGGAAGAATCCAAATTGGATAGGAAGCATTTTTCCTTCCTAGGAAACAATTTGTTTTCCCATGTTTCTTTGGTTAGCAAACAGTGAAAATATTAAAGAGGACATCACAAATTAAAAACTTTTATGCAGTGATTCTTTTTTGTTTCCCCATTGCTTTGACCTTACACAGTAATCAAATACAAACCTGCTTTTTTATCGGAGGAGCCAAAAGCATTTGTCAAAACATTCATGTAACCAAATATATTTTATATAAATCTTACTTTCATCTTTTCCAGCATACACAGACAATACAACTCAGATCCCAAAGAATGCCTCAGTTATCATCCGAAGAATTCCACTTGGCCCAAAAGGAAAAGCTTTAACTGCAGCGTAAGTATTTTCAATAAACTCGGACAACAATAAAGCCCTGATTGTTTGCAGGCACTCCAAAATGGTTCACATAGGAACTAGCTACAACAAGGATACAATATTAGGTGGCCCCATCATCACCTGATAGATCTAGAGGACCTTGGGGGAGATTTTTCCAGGATAAATGCATTTCTTTTGCCAGTGCAAATTCTGTCAAATCTTCATTAAAACAAAATCTTGTTATTTAAATTATTTTGGGGACTGAAGGGCTAAATTTTTCTTGTTATGGTGTACTTTTCCTAAAAGGGAGGGAGGTGTACCTCTGAGGGTCTTCAAATGCAAGATAACTAATGTGTTTTTTTGTTTATCTATCCTAACAGCGAAAGACCACAGTCCCCAGCAGAAGCAAAACCAGTACGTAAAATGTGTTATTTTAATAGCCTAGAAACAATTTCCTAAATATTAGCAAACATTGATGAAAACAAGTTTTGTTTCAAAATGAAATTCTCGTTTCCTTGGCATAGTCCCGAATAGATCAATGTTATGTCAATATTTTTGAATGCGTTTCTTCATTTAAATTTTTCTTTTTTTCTTTGTAACATATCACTGTACAAAGATTAATCTGCAATAAACATTTCACATCTCTCCTGGATTGATTTTTGGCCGCACAAGTTGTACCACAACTTGGTCAGAATAAAGTTTTTTTTACGTTTTTGTTGTGTGTTGTTGTAGTGATTCAACTAGCATTTCCCCGGTTGATGATGTCATTCTGATGCCATGTGTATCATTACTTGCCATTATGATTGTGATTTGTGACATCATTTTGAGATGATGAATGATAACATCATCACACAGCTATTAATTATGATGACTGGTGTTCAGTGATGACATCATGATCATGAACAATTATGAAATTTTAAGTTCTGTCAAAGCTGTCATCAACTACATCTAAAATATGACATCATTCTAAAGTATTGAATGATGATGTCATTCCACATTCACATCTGCATGCTTGGTTTCAGTTTTGGGGGGGTGCAGATTTTGTGATATTACAGAGTTGAGGTTCCAGTAGAACTATCCAAAAATTATCGTACAGGAGGGAAAATCTCAGTGTGAACATGTAGGAAGTCCTAGCATTTCCAGGTGGTGTGATAGCACTTTGCACCCCCAAATAGTTTGCATTTAATCTGGTAGTCAATGACCTTTCATGATGATGACATCATCAAGCTGTACTGGTCTTCTGGACAGGTCTTTGGCAATGGTGTCATTATCTGATGGTTAGGATGCATGTCCTTGTAACATGTGGATGATCACCAAACTCAAGTATTATCTCCCTGTTTATTTTGGAACCACTGCAAAGGCTACTGATATAACTGATATAGACCTTCGAGGTCCACAGAAACACCAGGTTTTGGCCTAGGGAAGTTCATAATTTACCAACCCTGCTGGATTAACCCCCGAAAGGAGATAATCACAAATTTAGCAAAACGGAAACTAACGTTTTCTTTTCAACCCTCCCCCTTTGAAAGACATAACAAGTTCGTTGGGTTTAAGCAGCTCACGTGACAGTTTTCCTCCAAAAAATTGGTGAAAAATCCGGCTCACTCTAAAACAACTGATCATTTTGTTCTACCTGCAAAAACGCACACTGGGAAAGTTAAGAGTTGTGTTCTGTAAAACTGTAATCAGTATTAAACCGTTTAAAAACATGTATCCCTTACCTCTTATCTTTTACTTTATCGTGACATTTTGTGTTTCCGACAATTTAAGGCTTGAGATGATAAGAAAATGGTAAAAATAGCTATATATCAACGTTTATCATCTACACCCAGTTCAAGTTTGTAATCTTAAAGACATTTCAAAAACACAATATATTTTTGTTTGGGAATGTCAGTTTTATGTTTATTTCAAAATCATCAATCTGGTATATAAGATCTTTTAGATGTGGTCGGAAATTTACAATCTAAACATATGCGTCCGGTCAAATTCGCTCAAATTGTATTTTCAAAACATCTTAGTTTGTCCTTTTGCCGTTTTGGCCTTGGTTTTATATTTTGAAACTTTTTAAATTGTCGGTTGGCCACAGTTTGTGATGATTTTCGTTAACAAATGTTGAACTAACCTTGTTACCTTTGTGTTTGAAATGGTTTAGTTCGTGTTCGGTCCATATTTATCATATCTTTCCGTTCACTTTCAAAAGACTGAAGATCAAGATGTGATGCCAGTTGTACCTTTGAGTAAACTAAACAAGGTAATGTTAAATGTCTCGTGCTGAACAAACTTTGTAGCTGCGCGCGCCCAGAATAGCGTGCTCCGCTTGAAAATATTGCTGCGCGTATATTGAGGTTCAGTGAGAGAAAAGAACAAACGTTCTCACGAACATTTCCAACGTGTGCCACGCAAATGCACGTTGCTACGGCCATATGTGATTTGCACAAAATTCACCTGAGGTTTCGTGGTGCATTTGACAATTGTGAGATGGAGGGTGAACTCTTGTGAATTCCGAGTTTGGGTCTGTTTTAAGCTCAAAATCTTTGTTTTCAGTCCTACTTCTTCGTTAAAAATCTTCATTTCTATGACGCGACTCTTTATCCTGATTGAATAGTGGGGGGGGGTTAATGAAAATGTTCAGGGGAGGGTGTATAACCCAAAAAAGGCGCGCGTGCAAATACATCGCTTCCTAAATTGACTCTTGTGGGTTTTATGTAACTTGCTACGCAAAGGAGAAACTTTCTTGTAAATCAACGCTCCACAACCAGTGCAAGTGTCGTTTTCACGAACAAATTGCTGCGTGTTGCACGCATTTCATCGTTCTCACGATCATTATTCAGTTGGTTGAGCTGAGCTGAGCTGAGAGCATGCACTGCGCGCATCTTGAAATGTTCTATTTCGTTCCAGGTCGCAGATCTGGCGTCTGCAAACGCCTCCGAAGAAGACAAGATTGCCGCGATGATGAATCAAGCGGGAGAGGACTGGGACCCATCATCGTACGTTCAAACTTCTATCATACCCATAAGGCTTCAGATAGTCCACACAGATACTAAGTTACGTTTGTTCGAAAGGCGTTTAGCTTAAACGGTGGATAAGTCAAAGTTTAAAAATACTCTCATACATCTTGTAAATGATTGAACCTACATCTTATGCATTGAATATATACTTTCATTGACAATTAAACTATGTACATCGAAATAATTCGGCTCAGTTGTTCAATAAATGAATAATTTTGTTTTTCAATTTGAACTTATCCTCCGTTTAAGCTAAACGCCTTTCGAACAACCGGACTCTGATGTAAAAATTGCCCAAATTTCGCTTGTTTCGTATTCCTCAAAATATATATTCTAATTGATATTTATTTTAAAGCATAGACAAGTGAACTTAAATATTGTTAAATAATAAGACAAAGTTAAAAATGTAAACAAACCGTTTGTTTACATACAGACTTGACTTCCACTTTAAGGAGTTTTATACTGTTTATATTGGGTGAGTTATCCCGACTAGGCAAGGTGGAAACTTCAAATTATAATAAAGGACTGTTTTTACCTCGCCTAGACAAGAGGCTCTCACTCACTCATCGAAAAGTCACTCATTTCGCCCATTTACCACAATGCTAGATACAAACACTCGCAGCGAGCTTGCGAGTTGATTTTGCGTTGAGTGGTAAAGAGCCTTAACTCGCTCCATAAAAACAGGTCGTAATCTAATATTGGCAAATTAACCGTCAAACTTGAAATATAGAATAAATATCTTGTTTAATTCTCAGGTATGCTAAACCAAAAGGCCGTCAATTCAGCGCTGCCCCACGTCAACCACCTCCAGCTCATTACATGTGCTTCCGATGTCGAAAACCAGGCCATTGGATACAGAATTGTCCGAAGAACAACGTAAGACCCGAGGAAATGTTTCCTGTGTTTTTTGAGTTTCCTTAAGTTCAACACAAGTTTCTAAGTCTTGTCTGGGCCGTTTGCTAGGATCCCAATTACGACATGAAGGTGCGTCGGACCACAGGAATCCCAAAGAGTTTCCTCCGTCTAGCCGACAAGCCGACACAGAAAGGAGCGTTATTGATCCCAGATACAGGACAGTATGCTGTGCCCATAGTTGATCAGTAAGTATTGGGATTACCAGCAGACAATTCCATAAAACACAAGAGAAAAAAACATACTCCGAAGAATAACATCTCGTAAACGAATTATTGACAACAAGACAATAATTTTATGGTTATATTTCGACTTCATTTCAAAGTCATCGTCAAATCAGAATAAAATGACTTTGGCAATGACTTTGAAATAAAGTCAAAATATCACCGTTAAATTATTGTCTTGTTGTCAATAGCTCATATCTTTAGTTTACAAGATGTTGTTCTTCGAAGTATGTTTTTTCCTTGTAAGTATAGGCATTATTTCTCCAGGTAGCTATATGAGTAGTTGTTGATTGACACCTTTGGTTGGTAAGCTGCTAGTTTAAGTGTTTCGACCTGCAGTAGGTCATTAATTCCCACCATATACACTGTTGCTACTCTTTTTTATCAATAAATCCCTCTCTGATCTATCTAAAAGTCTTTTCACACGATCCAATTTTGATTGATCCAATTCACTTCTGACGTGTGAAATATAGTCGGCTATTGGTGAAGCCGTAGTGCATTGGCTTCAGTGGATTTGCTGGCATTGCTGCTGATATGCATTATAAGACAACAGATTATAAAACATCCATCAGAAGTAAATTGGATCCAACAAAATTGGATCGTGTGAACAGACCTTAAGCGTCCTTTCTCGTCTCTCTAGCAATGCATACGAACAGGCTGCAACAAAGAAGCGGGCCAACAACTCCCAAGGTTTGGTTGAAGCCGAGAAACCGATTCCACCAGAATATTTCTGTCCGATCTGCAAGAAGATCATGAATAACGCTGTCGTTATTCCGTGCTGTGGTGAAAGCTTCTGTGATTCATGTAGGTTTTAAGGACTAGTAAAACCTCCAACATCCGATGTACATACAATACTGCTTATTGAAACATGCGTTTTCATGTCAATTCAATCCACTTAGGCATCGAGAAATATCTTCTGGAAAATGATCATGTTTGTCCATCTTGTCAAACGGAAGATGTGCTACCAGCGTCCATTGTCATTAACAAGCATCTTCGCCAGGTAGTTAACCCTTACGAAATTTCAAACCTCAATTTCCAAGTTTTAGTACGTTTTAGAGGTTATGCCCCTCGCTTGAATGCATGCAAATTGATGGGGTCTCATTTATTTACTAATTTGATGGGTTCTGTGGTCGTAGGCAATCATCAAGATCAGATCATCCGGTTTCGAAGGTGGTTCATTATCTGCCACGTCGTCTCCCAGTGCCCATCGCGATGGTGATAGTAACATCACTCAAGGAAGGTCAGTTACTTCTTTTACACTAACAAGTAACAATATTTACGAGTTAACATCACTGTTCTGTACTAAGACTAAGTACTAAGCTCATCTGATATGAATAGTTGAAGCTAATTGTAGGCTTATTAAATTCTCCATTTTGTTCTACTCGGCATGGCATCGAGAGATGTTTAAAGCCCGTTTTCCACTAGGCGAATTTATTCGCGGGACGCGAAGCGATATCTGAAATCCGGTGATGTGATTGGCTTGCGAAAAAATTCGCCGCGAAAAAGTAGAATCGCTTCCAACTTTTTATCTGTTCGCGCGAATAAATTCGCCTAGTGGAAAACGGGCTTAAAGAGCTTTTATTCGTCTCCAGCTGCGGGTAAGAAATTAAAATACTTGGCAGATAAGATATTAAAACAATATTTTATAAATTACATTGGTTTGACATAGATTTGCGTCCTTAGCCTACTGCATGAAGTTTGAACCTAGCACAGAATTTAACACACGGATGCTGCTTACTAGGCCACAAAATCTAGCTCTCGATTCATCAGGATGCTCAGTCATGGCTTGATATCTTTCGGTAATATTTAGATAATTCACAATGCCTTGCTTGGAATTCTAGGTCGACTCCAGTACCTCCAGCTGCAACAACTGCTGCTGCTGTTGCCGTTGTGTCTAGTGGCTCGACAGCTTCTGTTGCAACCGAATTATCAAAACCGGCGCAAACGAGTACAGTTACTGCCACCTTAACGACGTCCGCACCACAGGCAACACCTGCTATTGTACCGGGTATGATATTTATATATGGCTTATGGTCTGTTCGTTTCTCGAGTCTTAAACTCTTTTCCATTCTTAGCGAACGCAACCGCACCAACAGTAATCATGCCCAAAGTTATACCACAACCAGCTGTTCTTGATCCTCGTTTACACAGGTGAGATATTCAAGATGAATATTCCATTATTATTACAGGGGATTGATCTACAGCGGTTTCGTAGGGGCAGACTATTTGTCGGGCAAGGATTAAGCACAAATGCCAGCTGTCTAGGACTCTAGGTAGACTACCTAGATTGTCAGAGTCAGAGCCTCGGAAAAGGCTCTTAGCCTCCAAATACACTAAAATTCTTATAACTTGGGCACTGATTTCGTACACAAATTTGAACTGATATCCAAATTTGCACCCGTACGCGCCCCCGGAACTAGGCTAGAGGGGTGCACACTCCCTGCACCCTCAATAAAGCCATCCTAGAAACAGGACATTAATACAAGAGGAAACCTTAAAACAAAACAAAATTAAACGATTTAGCAGCGCCTTCTCTTATTGATCATCCATGCAGTGTTACTACAGGAAGAAACCTAACTAACTTTAGTCTGTTCTGGATAGTCTAATAGTTTTAATTAAACTTCTTCCTAAAGAAATCTAGCAGGGTGTTCTCTTATTGATCCATGCAGTGCTAATTCACAGGGCTACCTAAATTTCACTATCGGGATTGTCCTGTCATATATTAATCCTTTCATATTTCATATGTAATTCTTAGACCCGAGGGTATGGTGCAACCTATGGCTGTCCCCGTTCCAGCAGCACCAATACACCGTCCGGCCTACGTAGTGCCAGTCACACGCACTTACCAACCTCACCACTCGATTGTTCACCCGATTGTACCTAACATCCCTGCTCCCTACGGTCATATCGCTCATCCTGCCCTCGTACCAACCCGTCATACATTACCATTTACCAACATGGAGCCAGGCATGATGATGAACGAAGAGGAATTTTACAGAGCTAAGAAGAAATTACATGAAAGGTGAGAAGATCATAGATTTTTAAGAGTGTTGTATTGACTGGCCCATCTTTTGTTGATTTCGTGTTAGTACATTAGAACACCGTAACTAAAGTAAATATTTTTTATACTGGATAGCTCTATCAGTTCTAAACTGTTCTTCCTGGAGGTCCAATAAGGATCATCTCTTATTGATCTAGTGTTTTTTAGGAAACCTAAACTAGACTATTTATACTGGATAACTCTATCAGTTCTAAACTGTTCTTCGTAGAGATCCGGTAAGGATCATCTCTTACTGATCCAGTGTTACTACAGGAGATAACCCAAACTGAACTTACTTTATACTGGATAGCTCTATCAGTTCTAAACTGTTCTTCCTAGAGCTCCAGTGAGGATAATTTCTTGTTCTTACAGTGTTACTACGGAGAAAAACCTGAAGCTTTCTAACTGGACTAAATGTACGAATATTTCTATTGTTTAGTAGAGGAAGGCGAAAACGCCGTAAAGACGACAGTGACCGAAAAAGTCGAAAGAAAGATCGAAGTCGGAGTGGACGAGACCGACGAGAATCGCCGAGCTCACGCCGATCACCTACCGATGCCCGTTCGAGAAAACGTTCAAGGTCCTGGTCGCGAACTGGCTCCAGCTCTCGCTCGTCATGGTCACATTCTTGGTCCAAGTCCCCTTCGCGGTCGTATAGTCGATCGAAGTCGCGTACACCGGTGAACTGGGACCGATCACGATCGCCCTCGAGGGAGAGCGAAAGAAGAAAACGAAAGAAACCGGATGTTAAAGAAACAAAGAAACGAACCAAAGCCGTGAATGATTTGCCAGAGAAACGAACTGTTAAACTTGCAACTACGAAAGACTCGAAGGGAAAAGGAGACAATGAAAACGAAAAATCAGAGAAACGAACGATAAAACAGGACGGTAAAACCACAAAACCAGCGAAGGAAAAATTAAATGTTGAACATGACAATAGTGTTTCTGAGAAACGAAAGAAAGATGACCCGAAAGAGGTTAAGAAAACATCCAAACAAAATGATGAGGTTGAAAGTAATGTTTCTGAGAAACGTAAGAAAAATGAACCGAAAGATACAAAGAGACCAAAACATAGTGACGATGTTAGCGGTAATGTTTCCGAGAAACGGACGAAAAATGAGTCGAAAGATACAAAGAAAGTGTCTAAACCAAGTGGCGATGCTGTTGATGGTAGCGTTTCCGAGAAACAGAAGAAAAGTGAGCCAAAACAAACAAAAAAAGTTGTTGACAGCAATGTTTCCGAGAAACGGAAGAAAAATGAGCCGAAGGAGGCTAAGAAAGTGTCGAAGCTGAGTGATGATGTTCCTGAGAGTAGTCTTTCCGAGAAACGACGAAAAAACGACCCAAAAGATACAAAGAATAAATCGGAACTGAGTGATGATGCTCGTGGAAAGCAAGCGGTTAAGACTGTAAAATCAAACGAACAGAGAACGGAGGAGAAAAGGAAGTCTGATACACGTGAACGTATTTCAGAAAAGACGAGCGTTAAAGTAAGCGTTAAGGAAAGCAGTAAAGCCATTGTGGTGAAGGAGTCGAAAGGTAACGTTAAAATGTCTCAACGGGATGTTGAAACTGCAAGAAATAAACGAAAAGTTGTTGTTCAGTCCAAGAAGGAGATCAAAAAGAAACCATTAGACAGTGACGATGGCGGCAAGAAAGGAAAACAAAACGTTAAGAGTACGAAATCAAACAGGGATGTCAAAAAGAAATTTTCAGAAGAAAGCGACAGTTCTGACAGTCCGGAGGAAAAACGAAAAGCTAAAACAACCAAATCTGCCGAAGCGAAAAGAGACGTTAAGAAAAAACCGAAGATTGAATCTAATGTCGACGATGACATCGCAGAGAAACGGAAGGTTGACGCTGGAAAATCAAGCAAGCTGATGAATTCGGCAAAGTTTGTGAAAAAGACAATGTGTGATGCTTTTGAATCGTCGCAGAAAAAAGTCTCAGTTAAGAAGAAATCTCAGGTAGAATTAGATAAAATTGAGCGGTCAAAGGAGGTCGTTTATCAGTCCAACATAGCCACAGTTAGGAAATGCTCAATATCCGATCTTAGAGATATCGTTAAGAAAGGCTCTGCTAGGGACTTTGTGGATCCGGTTAAAAATCTTAAGAAAAAATCGAATTCGAACAATAAAGAGTCCATGGGGAGCAAATTCGCGGGTAAGTCATCGGATTTACCGCGCGAAAAAGGAAAAGATTTTCGTGAGAAAGAACTCGTGGATGACAAAGACCGTAAAAGAAAAAAAGAGGATTTATTTGATGAAAAGAGGTTTTCTTCGTCAAAAGGAGATAGCCGAGGTTGGTTATATCTTTACTTTTTACGAGAGTGATGAGTTTTTTTCATGGGAGCAAATAATTTCATCAGGTTTTTAGAAAAATTCTAGTTTGGTGCAGTTGTTGGGGTTTAGATCTTACCATGCATGTTTGCCTTTGTACTTATTTTCACGAGATCCTGCAATTGTTTAACAAAAAAAACATGTTTATCACTTTCACGTTTTTGTAACACTGAACACAAGCGAACTGTTCCAGACAAATGGTCAAAACGAAACGTACGTGTACTTTTCATCTGTCGTCTTCAAATCCAACGTTTCATATTTTCTCTAAAACATTCAGCCGATTTTATTTGCCTGTAGAGGCTATAGTCAACGCGAAATGGGTTTTATTCCATGGGGTAAAGTACGAAAATGTACACAATAGTCGGTGGCAAAACAATGAGGAACTTCAGTAACCCAATCAAAATGCATAAATAGTGACTACTTCTGGTAAAAAGGTGTATCACTATACCACTTTTGATTAACTTGAAAAATGAAAAAAAAAATGGCGAATAAGTTTAAAACGAAATTCCTCCTTTTTCAATGGCAATTCATTGAACGAAATAACACTACTCATACCCGGACACAAGGTTATCTCGTCCCTATTGCAAAAACAAACCCGAGTTAGCGAGGCTTTTTGCAAATAATTCACGAATTCGTCACTGTCAAAACTGTTTTTTTTTAAATGTTCAGTCGTATAGTGTAGCAGTATAATCGTATAGTGTAAGTTTTTTCTGACATTTTACAAAATATGTTCTCTATTTTGTAGGTTCCAGCCCTGTGGTTGAAAAAAGACACAAAAGTGAACGCATTGTTAAAGATGATCGTGAAAGCTATCAGCAGAAAACTGAAAAGACTAAGGACAAAAAAGCGAAAGAAACCGCTAAGGGTAATATTTTTGCGGTTGAGGAAAAACGGAAAGAAAGGCCTTCCAAAGACAATAGACTTATTGAGGAAAAGACTTTAAAGGAAGGCAGAAAAGACAATTTGAAAAAGACTTATAGTAGCGGTGATATCCGTGAAGTTAGTTTAAAATCTTCTCATAAAGAGAAATATTCTGTAGGTAAAATAAAACACCGAGAAAGTGATGGTTTGGGCAATTTGAATGTCGAAAAGTCTAGAGTTCGTTATAAATCTGATGATAGCTCGCTTTCTGAAGAAGACGTACAAAAGAAAGCCAAGAAACGGAAAGAGAGGACATGGAGTTCTGAATCTGAGGATAGTGATGATGGAAGAAAGATTTCTCGGAAACGTTCAAAAAGTGATGATGAGTATTCCCGGGATTCCGACGAAATTTCTGAGAAACCAAAGAAAAGAAAGAAAAAGAAATCCTCGCTAAACGAAGATGAGCGAAAGGAGGCGAAACACAAGAAGAGAAAACATAAAAAGAAGCACAAAAAGCATAAACATAAGAAGAAATCTAAACGCAAAGAAAGAAGGCGATCTGGAGCTTATTCCAGTGAGGATGATGATGATGAGTCCGGAGGAGAACGTGGAGACAGTGATGCCGAAGCTGGAGAGAAAAGTCGTGATAAACGTGGTGTTAATGACGAAAAAATATCTCTCAATAGTGAGTCACATGAGGCTGAATCTGATGTGGAACGAGAGTCCGGAAGCGAGGCTGGTGATGATAATAGAAGTGGCGCAGATAGTTTAATAGTTGAGGTGAATTCTGGGAGCGGTGAGATCAGCGATGATGACGTCATTATGGGACAGGAGGACATTGAAGTGGAAAATGTAGCTGAGGTTTCGGAAGTAACAGGAGGTAGGAATGATGACGATGATGAAGTGGAAGAACTGGATTATGACGAGGAAGACCTGCATCAGGAGATGAGCGATGAAGGTGTTCAGGAGATTGACGTTGATAATGAGGGTGAAGATGAGGATAGCGGTGGCGATGATGTTGACAGGAATGACGACGAGGAGTCTGTTGAGGGTGAAGAGGTTGATTCTCAGGGTGAAGCAGATGAGGAAGACGATGAAGAGAATGAAGGAGATGAGATTGGATCTGAGGTTGAGGAAGAAGTACTAGAAGAAGGACAGCAGAATATGGAGGAAGACGTCGAAGAAGAAGAATTCGAACAGGATGAGGCAGAGAAGGATGATCAGGTTGAGGAAGAACAGGAGAATCAGGTTGAGAAAGAACAGAATGATCAGGTTGAAGCACAGGAAGATCAGATTGAGGAAGAACAGAAAGATCAGGTTGAGGAAGAACAGGATGGAAAGTTTGAGAATGCGCAGGATATATTTGGAGAAAGTTTGGAAGAAGATGAGACCATTGAAGAGGAAGTCGTAGACATTGAAGTGGAAGAAATGGGAGAAATAGAGCTTGATCACGACGTTGAGAATGAACAAGCGTTAGACAGGGAAATTATTGACAAGGAAAATGAAATTACCCAAGTAGAAGTTCAGGAAAACGATGTACTTGAAGCTGAAAATAACGTGATCGAGAAGGAAGCGGATGCCATGGTGGATGAAGAAGAGTTATTGGCGGATAGTAATATTGTAGAAGCGTCTCTTCAAGACAAAGTTGATAATCAACCAGTTGGAGATGATCTGTTCGAAGAAGCGTTGCTAAGAGACGCTAAATATGACGAAAGCGCTGACGTTGAACTTCTCTATGGTGACATCACTGGCAACCTGGGTGAGGGCGGCACTGATGACGTCGAAAAAAACGTAACTGATGACGTGTGCGATGATGTCACTAGTGACGCACGTAATGATGTCACAAATGCTGTCGTTGATGACAAAGGAGAGAACGAAGGTGAAAGAAGGAAACTAAGTGAAGATAACTTGAGAGAAACTGCATCTGAACATACTTCTGTGGAACTAAGCAATAATACTGACTATATGAAAGAACAAGAAAATAGCGACCGAGTAGCCGCCGAAGACCACAAAGCTTTAGTAGCATTTAGCAACGAAGAAAGCGGTGGAAAAACGCGTAATAACGGCGATCAAATCCGCGCTAACCAACAACAACACAATTCATTCAAAGCCTACCCAAGTTATGACTCAGGTGTGGGAACAGGATCCTCTCTCGAGATGTTGGACGACTACGATGATCCCGACTATACTTCATTCCGAAATTTTGCCAAAACATGACGAACACCGACCGACGTTTTCCGAGCGATGACGAACGTATGGCACCGCAGAATTTTTTTGAATTGCGGCACAATTTTCATAATGTAATATTTTGTGCAAACTTGAAACTCGATTTGTAGTCTTGTGTTTGTAGTTCACGTTCTTTTGGGGGTTGTTTAATGTTGTAATAGTGTGATAACATTTACCATACATGACTTTTAAAACATTTCATTTCCGCATGCATCACGCATTGAACATACTGAAGGTTTGGATGGCTTTTCTTTCCTTATAGAACACTTTGTTAAATCTTCCTGTCGTTGTTGGTGTTTCTGTAGTTAACCTTTGACTGTTGGTGTGGTGTTTCGAAAAAAGAAAAGGTGTAAAAATATTTATTTTCGTATATAGAATGAAATTAAATTTACTGTTTATAAAATATCGTTGTTGTGTGTAATTTTCGTGTCCACAGACGTTGAAATCCTGTAAAGAAGTGTTTCAAAAAGGTTTATCTTCTTTGATGTGTAGGTCTAGTGAACAAATATATAATATTCGCACAAGTTATTATTCGATCAATATTAATGGGATTTACACCACGTTGATTTTGAGCACAGTCTTTTAAAAACTTGTTCGCAGACATGTTACAACGCAGTTGAGCGTTTTTACATTTGTGCAAATCACTTGTCGAACATCGTCGAAAATCTACTGAAAATTCCACCGTAATCAAATATAGTTCGAGCTTACCAGAGTTTTCTCGCAATACACTTGCTAAACACCTTTCATAATCGCATGCATTGAATTTAGATTTTGAGATTTTTGCCTTTTTTCGCGTTTCCTTGACAGCGGTGTTTGAGATTCTACTTAAAATGTTTAATTAAACTTATTGTTTTTATTGATTAAATATAACTACCGTACTGCATGTATAATAAGATTTAAAAAGTTAAGATTAAAAACTCGAAACTTGTTTTTCTAAATGCTCGCATGAATTTGAGGACGAAAGCCAGATTTCCTTGATATTAAATATCACCAATATTTCTTCGCAGGGGGATATTTCTCGTGTGAAAATGATTCCTAAAGTCGTAAAGAGCTTGTGGGTCACACTTTCCTCAATTAGCAAAGGTCTTGATTACTAGTTATGCATTTGACATTTCTAAGTTGAGAAACTGATTTAAAAGAACTACAATTGAGATTTGATCACACTGTCGACCAGACAACCTCAAATCGTCACTCGACGAAATCTATATCTAGGGCTGTTAACCCTGCATGGGTTAAAACAAATCTTTACAATATTTTTTTATCGCTGCATGCAAGGATGAACATCTTTTTTCATAAATATTTACTGGACCGATAAAAGTAATATTTTCTAAAGTTTTAAAACGGACAGTGGTTCAGAAGCACATAAACTAAACTAAAACACTGATTAACATTTAACCCAGGTTTAGCGACAACCTATAGCTTCGAACAACGGGTTTTGACCAACATATTAGATCAATGACAATGCAGTCATGTACCCAGATTTTCTGGCCAAAACACCATTTTATTAATATTATGCCCTTTCCTTCATCCCAGCCATAAATGCGCAACGAATATTCGGTATTTAATAAAACAATATATTAAAAATCATTTAATTCATTTGTTAATTTTTGCGGCGAGACACTTTTTTCTTCTTCCAACCATATTTTCTATTCTAATTGATTTTTCTTTCAAAATTAATTACGTTTTGCATAACGGTTTTATATATAAACGCATAACGTTTCAAACCAATATATCATCTTAGAAATATTCACGGCAATATAAGTATAAAAACCAATCAATTTTATTTCAGACTAAACGGATTAATAAAATAAATCAGTTAAAATAATTTTGATACAAAAGTATACGTAAAATGATGAAACTTTCTAATGATGAAACTACTTTTTAAAATATTTAAGATTTTCTCGACTGTGTAAAGTCCCGCCGTTTCAGAGGATTCGAAGGAGTCTTAATTGTTCTTACCGCGCCATTTAACACAACAGATGTTTTGCATCAACTCACATTGATATTCATTGTTTAAAGAAATTTAATTTCACACACTTAAATATTGCTAACGTTAGTAATAAATTTCAATGTGATATATATTGTTTAATTATAAAAGAACAGTTTAATTTCGCACGCTCGCATTTCTGGCTCAGTCTTGATCGAAAGTGAAGCTGTTTTTTTGTCGTTCTCATCTGAGAAGAGTACGCAAAGTTTTGATTCAACAACAACATAAACAAGGTTAGTAACGTGTTAGTAAAATTTTTGATATTGTGTTTTTTATGTTTATTGACTAAACTTTAGGGTTGGGAATATTTTGGGTAACGTTTTAAAGTCATACCTAGCTTGTTTAGTCTAACATGTGCCTGGATGTGTCTCTAAAAACCTTATAACTTTATTGAGGAGTTTTCTTTATAAGTTTTAAAATCATCTCTCTATAGATTTTGATGCTAACTCGTGTGTCTATAAATTATATACACGTTACTTTAAGTGCGCGTCACAAGTCATAAAGAAAATCTTCTTCAAACATTCTTGCTAATACTTTTATTCAACCACTATATTCAGTTGACCTATTTGATTTTTTTGCCCAGTATTGCATATGGCGATTTCATCTAACAAAATCATTTTATTGGTCGTCATCCTGTCTGTTGCTATGGTAACAGAAGTGGCTCCAACCTGGTATTCTAATTTACAAGGCAAGAAGGTTGACAAAAGAGACCATTGGCTGGAGGACCGAAAACATCACACGAGAAAAGACGGGCTTGATAATATGATCAACAGTGGCGCGGGTAATGGTATGGATAGCTTTGGTATGGGTGCCTTTCCATATTTAGCGTTAGAATTAAGGGTTTGGATTAGAGTTTCGAGATAGGTTTAGGATTAGGTTTCGGATTAAGATTGAGATTAATTTTGTTGATAAATTTAGCTTGCTAATATGGAAATTGACCCGTTTATTTTTTCCGATATGTATATAGGTAATTGTTTTTACAAGGTACATTGGAAAATGTATTTCTTTATACCTTTCGTAATTTACACCAGAGGTTATAGTTTAAGATTTGACACATACGTCACTGCGCAGACTCTACAAGGGTCTTTTAATGAAAACACATGTCTATCAATCAACACTTCATTTCTTAAACATTCTTCTAAACTTTCTCTAACTTTCTTCTTTGTTACAGTTGATGAGCTCGAGGGAAGTACATAAAAGAGCAGCAAAGGTGGAAATATCGTCGTATTTATGAGCTATTGTCATGTTAAATTATTAAGATTGTTGAATCGATAATTGATCAATGTAAAATTATGTTACTATATAGAATAAAGACTTAGGTGTTGAACGCTTAAAACATGATCGGTATCTTTATTTTTTGCTAAGCTGGTAGAATTTTAACGTACGTTCATTCAGGATTATTTAGAAATGGAAAAATTCCTTTTCACCCTAAGTTTGCCGAGTTCTTAAAGCATTCGCACCCTCCCCTCGCCCACCTTGCCTCATCTTAATCGTACCTTAATTTCTCCTGCCTCCGACATCACCTCATTTTCACCACACCTTCATCCCCCTCAACTAATCTAAACCTTATCTTCATCCCACCTTTTCTCACTTCACCTTATCTCATTCCTACCTCGCACTTTCTTAACAGCATCCCCTCACCTCATCCACAGTAACACTGTCCTTTCACTATACCTCATCTTCACCACACCCTAGTGTCACATTTCATCTAAACTTTATCTTCACCACACTTATCTTCCCGCCTCATCCTTTCTTAAATGCATCTTCACCTTATCTACATTGTCCATTCACTACACCTTATCTTCATTACCTCCACCCAACCTCATCATTTTTCTTTCATAGTTTCCTTGCATCATATTCACCTTCACCCAACTTCATCAATTTCCTTTCATTTTACTTCAATTTCACCTCATCAACACGTCCCTTAATTTATCTTTACCACCATCACCACAAAAAAATTTCGTTCGTAACCACGAATTGATCTAGTGTTGATCAAACTGACTTATTTAAATAAATACAACTTTCACCTCAGGAACATGGTCGTTTTTCAAGTTGCAAGAATATGTTATGGGCATAACGACTTGAGCGTTTTTAGCCGTGTAGTGTGGGTAAACAACTCCCAAAACATTTTGCACACGCTTTTAAATTTGATTTTAGAATGTATTTATACAATGTAAATTGAACATAGTTATGGTAATCAAGCTGAGATATATATGATATATTTTAGTGTACAGTTTTAAGTTTCTTTATCGCCCTCCAGAAATAAAAGGTCGTCGCCCAGATTCTCGTCAGCTGAAATATAAGAAAAAAAATTAATAACGCAATCCGTAGATAATTGAGAAGCATTAACCTGTTTTTCATTGTAATTTATAGAAATCCTATCATTATCAAGTGTTTTATTTTCCTTTGGTTCCCTTCCCCACTAAGTGTAGTTTGGCTCGTGAAAGGTTTCAGACGTTATGAAAAGCTATTTTAAAATTATTAAGAAGCATGCTAATTTCATAGAAGTTCTGATACAGCTAACTTTGCAGGACTTTGATAAAAGTGAAAAGTATTGACATCAACGCCAACCCGGCGAACTGTATATGTGAACTGGAGCGATAACTCGGTCGCCATCTTTAAAGCCACTTGAAGCCGAATAGAGTGCCAGAATAGTAACCAGTGCCAGTCCACTTCTATTGTTTTTCTCTTCACAATTAACAGACGCGCAGATAAAAAACAACGGAAAGAGATTGGTACCGGTTTAAAATTAGACTGCAAACTGTTTTCAAAGATGTCGGCAAATAACAGAAGTTCCATAAGAAACCATAGCTCCATAGTCAACTACCTTTTCGTACAATTCTGTCATTAACCGTGCTAAAACTAGTTAAATGCGTTTCGTATAGCTCCGTAGTCAACTAAATTTCTATACAACCAACCCCTGTATGGGAGTATTCTGTGTCCTAAGCTCGTCCCCGGTCCCCTAGTCCCCATAAAAAAACTGCTGCAGAGTTGCAAAAAGAGTTCAACCTTCCTCCGGTAAGATTTCAAGTTTTGAAAACCTTTCTCGAAATGGAAGCACAACTAGCAACCAGCATAAAGAAATATTTTTTGGTACATGCATGTGATTAATTAGAGTGTTCAACTTTGAACCTTCCTCACAAGCCTCATTCAAAGCAAACCTTCCTCCGGGTGGTACCTGCTTGCTCGCAGCTTTTTTGCAACTCTGAACTGCTGTAAATTTCTCACCTTTGTCTTTGACCACGTCAGAAGATATGTAATCTCGTTTATTGTCATCACCGTATTGTTCTTCGGTTATTTGGTTACCATACCAGTTTCCTTCGCTTGTGAACACAAAAGTCGACAATAACAGCAACAACGTTATGGCGACTTTACCAGACAGTACCATGTTGTTTATCTGAAAATCATGTTTCGATTCTGTTTTGTTAACTTTACAACAAAAGTGCTGGAAGACACAGACGGGATGACTTCAAGGGGATATCACAATTACATTTACATTGCATGCATGTGAAAACAAAAAAAAATGCGATGTAGCTACTTCAAAATACACTAGTCATATACAGCCTCGTCCCCAGGCTCCATTACGTGCGCGTCGTGCGCGTGGGGAATGTCGCGCGCAGGGATTTTAACACGAAATAGAGCCTGGCAGAAAATGCAAGCCATTCTACAGAAATCGAAGAGAAGTGTATTTTGTTACATTTTGTTACATCTTAATTTTTGACACAGTCTTCTCTCCCACACAAAACCTTTCCTCCAATAAACGCATCGAATATTGGTCTTCGCATTGTGTCCAGCAAAGAACGCTCACTATCTGTCAACTTAAGAAATACTTGCTCATTTCTTTGTTTGGCCGCCATCTTGAATGCATTTTCTGCCAGGCGCTCCGCCCGCGAGAGCTTCCCCACTGACCCACGCGTGTTCCCCCGCCGCGCCGGGGACGAGGCTGAGTCATATATATTAGTGTAAATTTAGTAGTCTATATATCTAGACTATTTATATATAGTGTGACGAAATTATAAAGTAATAAAATTTACTGTAATTTGTAATTTTCTATATGATATACATGTATTAAACCTTATAGTTATAGTGTTTTCAAAGTGGGGTTTCTTTTCAAAAATCAATTTCTGTACAAAAATACACGGGCTTTTAATAAGCATTCTTAGTATGTTTAAAAAATCACTGTACATGCATGAATAGCACCATGCATATAAACTAATGCGGACAGATAGCGGAACACTCAATAGAATATAAGAAAAAAACTTAGAGAAATAGGTAAACAGCATCTTTTAAACTCGGGATATGAGTTTAAAAAACAGGACAACGATTTAGCGATGATTTGTCGATCGATCCTGATTTAAAATTGTATTTAGAATAGTTGAAATAGCACTGTTACTGCATGCACCGTGTTTTTCTAAAGCACGTATTTTTATCAAGCTATAAAGATTATCCTTTTGTAGAATTTTTTTAGCCTATATAATTGGACATATATGACAAAAAAACTTCATTATAGAAAATCATACCTCGATTTCGCTGCTTAAGAACGTCGAACCAGTTCAGTTTATACAACTATTGATTTGATTCAAAGACGACTATCGCGTAAAACTAATTCGCTTTTGAAAGGAAATCGCTTTATATAATCACAAAATGTTGCAAAATTAAAACGCGGATCAATTATCTCCACACACAAAAGCCAGTTGTATTTGTGACCGTAATCGGCTAAAATTGCTTTGTTTAAAGCTAATTCAATTCAAAAACGCGCTGAGCAATTTGTTTATATACACAACTGGCCTTTTCATTCATAAAAACGCGTTTGTACTATTATTGAACCCACTCAAAGACGAAATTAAAAATCTTCAAAGCCGCCATCCAGAGTATCATTCAAAATTGGGTCTTTCATATGGTGCGTGGGATAATAGCGTGTACTTATATTAGGCAATAAAAATTTCTTAATATAAACGATGGTCACTACTTTGATTAAAAAAATTTAAGCTTGTTTCATTAATTTAAAAAACTCCCATATCATTCTGTGTTCCGTTTCGAAGAGAAGACCTTCTATATATACTTATAACTTAAACCAAAGTCTGAGTTTCATCTTAAATTTGCATAGACCTGCACAAAATATTGACATAATAGATCCCCTATTTGTTTTCACTTAACTCTTAAGACTGAATTTCGATGTTTCCATGGTAAAATATCTTTATAATCCTAAGTAAATATCTTCTCCCAGATCTCATTCCATTTTTCCTACGATGAATTCTTCTGATAGACGTTTGTTATTGTTAAAATTCCGTATTAATCTCGTAACTTAAAAGGTTCTTATCTTTACTGGCTTATCAACGAAATTTCTTTTTTTTCCCGAAACGAAATGGTGAGATATAGTTCGCTATACGAAAAAGTTTAACTAATCTTGTATTGCAAGGTAGTGATATGTTGTAGCCTTGCATAGTCATCCATCACGTTTCCGAAAGCCAGTGTATGGATATATTACTGTACTATCACCAATATATCGAGGTATGTTTTTCAGTTAAGATTTCCGTTAATATTAAGTGCTTCCTGCTGTGTCAAAGATTATTTATTTGTATTTTGAAGTAGTTTTCTATATTCATTAATTCGGGAAAGCGCCAGAAATGGCATGTTATATATTTTAACACAGTTAGAGCCCGAATGCACATGTTCATATAACTTCATATGACATGCATGCATGTAACTATCCTAAGCCTTTAGCTCTCGAACAGTTATAGTTATGTCTGTCTTTTTAGCCATTCTTTGTTTAATCTTATCACTGATACTTTGAAATACACAATGAAACTAAATTGTTCCTGATAATGTAAACAATGTCTGTTCTCCATTGGTTTTGTATTGATAAAAATCCCCTTACAATTATCATAATCAAACCGAAAAGACAGGAATTAAGCTTATCTTGGACGTTTTTATCGATTTAGAAAGCATTTGTTACAGCGGTCTATAGGATATGTTTAGACTTTAGTAAATGCATGAACATCTGCCCAGAATAACGATTTCAGTAACATAGTCATAGATTAGCTCGCCTGAAAATTTTTTTCTTCGAATCAAAGGCTTGTCCCAAACGCCGTTCTAGCACATACAACGGAATATGAAAAAATCCAAGGAAATTAATCAAAATGATATGAAAGTATTTGTTCCAAGACTTCACCGTCGACAACGAACTCAGTCAAAAGATATTAAGGAACATGCCATCTCGTGTTCTAAGCAAAGGTTGGTCGTTCAGCTAAATGGTTGTCTCCACGGCTAGTTACGAATATACTCGGCGTAATTGCAAATGAACTTTAAAGACTGGGGCCGGTTGTATCAAGCCCGTTTAGCTTAAACTGTGGATAAGTCAAAATTAAATAACACTCTTACATCTCTCTTGAATGAGTCAACTTGAATATTATGCACTGAATATGTAGTTGCATGTAAACATGCAGTATCTTTGTATTAAGGTCAAAAACATTTAGTTCGCTTGTTGAATAAAACGGCGGGCTAAACGGACTTGATACAACCGGCCCCTGAATGTTAAAAAAATCTATACGAGTTTCCCCTTAAAATACCGGACACTTTGAATTTGCCGGGAAAGCTACTTAGGATGCTCTGAAACACCTTTCGTTGCAAATGCAAGTATTCAAAAAAGCCACAAGTAACTATATACAGTTTTTGAAATATAATTGATACCAACTGATACCATCTTTAGAAAGCAGCTATCTGGTTTAAATATATACGAACGGTTTACTCTACGCTTCGATGTAAGGGTCTGTGGTATATGTACTTATGTCAAAGCATCGGAGGTTTTTTGTATATTTCAGACAAACTTTGTTTGTCGAATCGCATTTAAAGTATCATAATTTTTATTTGAAATGAAACAAGCTGCTGTTAAGTAGCTTTCTAAAAGACGGCGGTAGCTTTCTTGTCTATCAGATTTTGCATTTATTTGAAAGCTGCCAAAATGATATTAGTTTGCCGGTCTCTTAAAAGAACGCTGTTTTGTAAAACATTCATAGCAATGCATAAAGATGCATGTTTATAATACCACTTTCACCTAGCTGAAATACTTTTAAGTTTTTTGCCGGGTGAGAAATCGTCAGAACAAAATACTTCTTTGATACTGCTTCATGAATAAAGTGAAGATATATTTCTATTTTAAAATACTCCTCGATCTTTTCAGAGATTCAGTTCAGCTCGAAGAAGAACTCTCGCTGTTACAACTAAAGAAACTCATGCGCCTTTTCAAACAGCACAAGCCTGAGCAAAAACACAGAACCTTCAGCAACCTGCCTTCGCGTGCCGCGGGAAAACCCGGTTACATGAACCTTGACGAATTTGATAAAGCTTTGAACAAAGCACTTCACGACCAAGTCTTGACAAGCGAGATTGAAGAATTATTCAGAAAGGTTGATATATCGTCTGACGGTCTGGTGGACTGGGATGAACTGAGCTCTTATATATTACTGCGATTGCAAGAAAGAGAGTTACTGAGGTCAACAGGTCATGGCAAAGTATTCCAAAATCCTCCCAAGATAGTGAAGATAGAAAAGTGTAAGGTAATATGTCCACGTTTGGAAATGCCTGATGGAGTGATGATTTTCTAAGTCAGGCATGTCTCAAGATGGATCTTGGTGGAATGCATATGAGTGAGATGTTTTCGTTGAATTCATTCACAATGCTCACACAGATATCTCCTTTCATTGACAGGAGCCAACGTCTCGAATTCTGGTCGGCTCGAATCCGACGAGATATATTACCGTGGGCAAAGTAAGATTGCTTTTACTTTTCATGAAATTAGAACAATAAACTATGTATACTATACACAGTGTAGTTTAGGTTTCCTCCTGTAGTAACACTGGATCAATAAGAGATGATCCTTTCTGGACCTCTATAGGAAGAACAGTTTGAACTGATTGAACTATTCAGTATAAATAAAGTTGGTTTAGTTTTGGCTTCCTCCTGTAGTAACACAAGATCAAAAAGAGAACATCTTCAGCTGTTCTCTGTATGAAAAATATTCGATAAGTCCCCTTAGAACTATTTTTCTTAATTTCAGGATGGTTTCATCAGGGTTTGGACCGCTGATCTCGTTCAAGAAAGATTTTTACGAATGGACAACGGTGACCAATCGTTCAACCAATCGGCATCAAGCAAACGTAAGATCTGGGTTACAGATGCAGTGATTATGAAGAATGTTAATAAACTAGCCGTCTGCACCACCAATATGGATATCTATTTCTATGACATGTCTACCCCTGTCTATACACCTCAATTCCATTTATGTGGTAAGTTTGTCTACCGAAGTAATTTAGTTTATGCATTGATTGAGGTTAGTTTTCCCCCGGCAGAGTTGCAAAAAGAGTTCAACCTTCCTTCGGTATGATTTCAAGCTTTGAAAACCTTCCTCAAAATGACGTTACGTCACTGAGTCAAGTGGCAACCAGCATAAAGAAATATTTGGTTTTTTGGTACATGCATGTGATGAATTAGAGTGTTCAACTTTGAACCTTCCTCACATACCTTATTCAAAGCAAACCTTCCTCCGGGTGGCACCCGCGTACCGCAGCTTTTTTGCAACTCTGTTTCCACGATATATGCAGTCTTTTCCTCGTATATTTTACTTCACTCACATGTGAGAAGAGTTTCATTTAAACAAACACAGTGGTCAGAAGTGTGACCAGGTTACCAGAGCTGGTAGTTTTTATGCCACATTCGGTCGGTTGTACATAGACAGCCACACCTGATTTTAATAATATACCAAATTTATACCAGGAGGGGGCAGTCTAACTAAATTTGAGCAGGTTGGTTAATAAATATGCATATATGGTCACACTGTGGTCAGAGCAACGAGAGCATATATGTCTTCTACCGGACCTCTGTGACCAAGGTTTGATACATGTAGTATCTAGTATGCCCCTAGTCTGGTTATAATTTCACTTCAGTAAAGTGTTTCCAGTTAAACTTTGATTCAAGTAACACACATGTTGTAGTCTACTATAATTTTAATGGCATTGAAAGGTAGTAATCGATTTATGCATATTTTATTGATTTAATTATTAATCTATTATCTTCTTCTGTAAAGCTTTGGGTGTTGTGGCTTTCTGCTTGGAATACCATTACGATAAAAAGGTGAAGTTATCTTACTCCAACTTCTACGACCCAAAGTACTATATAAAGTATATACTACTAAAGTGCTACTTCTATGACTGCACTACTTTTAATTAAAGAGTTTCACCAAAAATAATTATTTGTTTTCTTTACGTAGAACCCTGCCAATCAATCACTGTTGTTTTACGGCGATGACAAGGGCCAAGTTCATGTGTTGATTTTTCATAAACCATTTGAAGGATTGTTTGAGACTCCATTTAAGAAACATGGAGGATGTCACGTTTTATTTTTGCAGGTATCAGAAAATTAGGGAGAACTAACAATTCAGGGCTGATATCTTTATTGGACCTCTGGGAAAAACAGTTTAGAGCTGATAGAACTATCCAGTATAGATATAATTTAGTTTAGGTTTCCTCCTGTAGTAACACTGGATCAATAAGAGATGATCCTTACTGGACCTCTAGAAAGAACAGTTAAGAATAGGTAGAGTTATAGGTAGAGTTAGTTTACATTATTTCACTGGGCCTATCAAATTTTTCAATGCAAATATAAAACTCGGTTGTTCTGAGCTGTCAGCATATTTCTGTTTTTAATTTCAATTTACCAGGAAGCGATGTCGTCACAATCCCATCTTGTCAGCCATGTTCTAGTGGACGAACTTCATTCTGATTGGTTACGAAGGCTGCGCTATTACCATAGCAACGATATGCTGATGTCATGCAGTGGTAACAGTCGAGACTCGTTGATAATGAGAGGAGTTATGAAGAACGCTCATGATAAGATATATACATACAAAGTTGTGAAGGTGAGATGGTTCTAAAAAACAACCCAGAAAACTTCTCGAAAAATTGCTACCGTGTAACCTAGTCCCATGCCTCTCTGTGTTTCCACAGGGCATCGATTGTTTTGACTTTTCAAAAGATCTCAACGTGATTGCAACTGGAGGTCTCGATCACGTGGTTCGTCTATGGAATCCTTACGTCACTGTGAAGCCTATGGCGACCCTCAGAGGTCATATATCACGTGTACTTGACGTGATCATCGAAGAACAGAGAGGAACAGTGTATAGCTACGACTGCGATACGGTACGAAACTTTTTGTATGATTTTCACAGTATTTTTTCATCACAATCGTTATTCGTTTGATGTCTTTTAGTGATTCAATGATATAAACCAGTGATGTAGCTACACCTGGAATGTTTTATCGTCTTTCCATCCAGGAGATAAACAATTTGCATGAAAGACAATGTTTTTAATCCAAACAAGATGGCTATAATTTACCAAGAAAGAACATGCTGAAATTAGTCAAAGTTCAACTACTGGATGCCAAATGCTAAAATGTGGAAAAATATAGCCTTGCAGAACCAATAAAACACGAATCTAAAATGTCTAAAAATTGTCTATTTCTTCTTTCTCCGTTTCATGACTCCAGTTTTTATTCCTTTAGGTTATTAAAGCTTGGGACATAAAGGAACATTATTGTATCCAATCTATACACCTGAAATACCCTTACGACCCTCATCATCTCGACCACGGTCCATTCCCGATGATTTTGCTACCGGCTCCTACGCATGCGCTGTTGATTGCCTGCGAGGACTATCTGACTGAACTAAAGTTATCTAACGAACCTAACATCAAGCCAAACAGAACGAGCCATGACCGTCCTCTGCTCGCCTGCTTGTACAATGACAAGAAGAAACAGGTTCAACTGAAATTCGTAGATTCATATAACCATTTCACAAAACCGTATAAAAATACAGCTTCTAGAAACATGATATACATGATTTCAGCCTTTAAACAATTTTGCTTCAGTCCAGAGGAAGAAAATCATTTCCTCGCCGCAGCTTAGGAATGTAACTGGGAAGAATGTAACTAGTAAACCTGCAATTCGACTGCAAACCAAATCGTATAAAATCCTACAATATTTCACTACTAAACCTGCAATTTCACCCATTCGAAAACGCTCTTTATAGCTGTGCTGTTGAATTTTGTTCTTTTGCAGGGTTGCAAAAACGGTTCAACCTTCCTCCGGTAGGATTTCAAGTCTTGAAAACTTCCTCAAAATGACGTTATGTCACTGAGTCAAGTGGCAACCAGCATAAAGAAATATTTAGTTTTTTAGTACATGCATGCGATCAATTAGATTGTTCAACTTTGAACCTTCCTCCCAAACCTCATTCAAAGCAAACCTTCCTCCTGGTGGTACCCGCAGCTTTTTTGCAACTCTGTTCTTTTGGCCTTAAAATTCAATATTCCGCCGGAGTCAGCCAGTTTTTATGTTCAGATTTTCTCTCTCAGGTGATCACGGGTTGCGAAGGATCTTTGGTGCGCACCTGGAATGTGGAGACTGGGAAGAAGGTGTTCGAGTTCCTAGGTGTTGTCGGGAAGGATGAAATGTCATGCATGGCTCTGGAGGTCAGCGGACGGCGGCTGTTTACTGGATCACGAACTGGAATGGTCTATGTAAGGAATGTTTAGAATTGACTTATGCGCCAGAAAGTTGTCTAGTTTGAAAATAACTCTGTTACATTATGGAAAGAAACCGCTTCTAGTGTGACTCTTCCAAAGACTATGTTTAGAACAAGTGTTTCTACCTCTTCGACTGAGGTTTGATCTTGCAATATGAGGTTGTCTGAATTCTGATTTTGATTTCACTTCAGTCGCATATGGGAATAATGCTATCAGTCTAATACAATAATTGTTACAGTAATATGGAATTATAATTTTATCTCAGTCACATGTGAGATGGATACCTCGATTTTCACTCCCAAAACAGAGTGGTCTTTCAACCCTGCGATTGAAGCAAATTTGAATCCTGCAAAATGGTTATAACTTTTAGTCTGAATGCATCAAATTCAAATTTTCCCTCAAACTAGAATTGAATGAATATTCCCTTGCCTTAACCGATGAACCACAATAGAGAGATATTTATCACGTTAGATTTGGACATCAGGCAGTGGTCAACTGCTTCATAAATGCCTACCAGAACCAGGATACGAGTACGAAGTAACGGCCATTCAACCATTGCCCGAGAAATCGTACACTTTGAGTGTCGGATGGAGCAAAAGAATCTTGATGTATCATGACCATGACGAGGTATTAAAACAGCCAGCTCTTTAGCTCTCTAGCTCGTTAGGCCTTTCTCATAATGACGTCAAACGCGGAAAGCCTGTTGTTACACGACGTTTGATTGGCTCGTTAGTTTTGCGGAGCCAATGAAACTTTGTGTAACATCAGGCTTTCCTCTTTGACGTCATTATGAGAAATGATGATTTCAGCTTTGAATAGATCATTTTAATCACGGCAAGAAGAATACAATCAGCACAGCAGGAAAGACCATCTTAGATTGAGTAAAACTGCAACGTTTGGTTGAGAAATGCTGTAAAACATTGAGAATATATATCTAGGGAAGTTTTTTTTTATGTTGCACGTGATAAAATAAAAAATAACCACGTTGTTTTGCAGAGTTGCAGTCTTATAACCCTCACATTTTAGAACATTTTGCAACCAAATTTTTTAGCTCTACTCATTTTAAAAAGCTCTTTTTCGCTTTGGTGTTTGGTTTTGTTCTTTTTACCTGAATAAAAATTTAGTCCATACTTGGAATCAACCATTAAATAATCGTTTTCACTACAGTCGAAGTGATAGAAAGGTGGAGGCTGGTAGGGAGAAAACTGTAGACTTTCTTTCCATTTACTTTTAGGACTCAGCAAATCGTCAATATTCTCTTTTTTAGATGTTATCTGTGAAAGCAGATCCCAGTTGGAAAGGTGGTCATGTCCACGAGGTAGAATCAGTGGGTAGAATAGAGAAATTTAGTAAACACGACGTGTCGCCTGAGACGTCGTGAAAATGGAGTGGTATGTCCATCTTTGGTTGTGATTACGCCATGTATACACACCATATTCACGGTGTCTTAGGCGTCACGTTGTGTTTGCTAAATTTATCTGCGTAAAAGATCATAGCTCCTTGAACGAGACTCAGGGATCACAAGTTATTGACACAAATAATATGTTGTTTCGTATGATGGAAAAACCGAGTTCACTTGTGATAACTTTAGGATGATATACTGTGCATAGCCCACTGTCATCCCAATCTGGTTGCAACCGGAAGTTTTGACGGTGATCTCATTCTTTGGAGCCTGGAGAAACAAAATATTTTCAAAAGACTCAAGAGAGGATCTGGCAGCCTGTTGTAAGTTTCGCAGTATCTCTGCGTCTCCATGCTGTAATGACTACCTTGACTAGAAACACTGATAAAAGATTTTAGATGTATTAAGAGTTTGATACAGGCAGGAAGAACAGAATCCAACATCACAACAAGAAATTGAGTAAAACTGCAAGTTTAGTTGTGTGAAATGTTGTAAAATATGAAAATTATAGCCTTTTTTAAAAGCTATTTTAAGCTGTGATGATGGGCTCCATTGTTATTTCCTGTCTCGATCAATATTTAGTCACTGATAGGAATCATGCACTGATATGTTCACGTGCCAAACACTCCTCACTTTGTTCTTAAAATTACGATTTCAGCAAGTCAAAGTTAAAAAAAGTTGGGCTAGCAGCTGGACACCGGAAAAGGTAACAGACAAGATCTTGCCTGAGATAACTTCTTAATTCTTAACATCGCAAAGCATGTATTTTCAAACGTTATCAAGATTGAAGTCAGACAGCAAACAGGGGAGTCCAGTCGACGGTATATTGTTCTTTGAAAGGCGGGCAAACATGAAATGCCAGGATAGTGCGATCTTGGTGTCGTCACAAAGCGGTGTTCTCGAGTTTTGGAGTATGTTTGGACCTCTAAAACCAAGAGGTGCGTGAACAAGTCTATCGTTCAATGGTTTGAATTAAGTAGTAAAATTCTTATTAATTCTGGACTTTCTAGAATTAACTCCAAAAAACTACTTTGTGCAAATTTTGAAATGTTTGCTTAGATCTCTTGTAGTGAAGCGGGTGAAATGTGAATATTTTTAATTCATTTTGCAGGTTCCTTTTACGCGCCACCCGACCCAGGTTGTACAGTGCTTGGGTTAGCCACAGACAGAGCCAACGATATTTTGATCAGCGGTGATACTGCAGGTTACGTCACAGTTTGGGATATCAAAGAATATTGCAATCTAAGTCTTGAGATGGTTGTGACCAAGGTACGAATATATTGCTTTTATATCAAACTGCCGAGTGTTTAATAATTCTACTTTTTTGCACAATAATGTGTTCGAATGGACCATTCCCCTTCTTAGTTAAAATAAATCCTAAACTAAGAAAATTGGTAGGTTCTGAGGTATACGACTGAAAAGAGAATCCCCAAATTAATAAAAGGGACATACAAAATTTGCCAAATTCGCCCGCTGATATTTTTCACACTTTACAATATTTCGCCACCAAAATTCCCATTTTACTAATTTCATGCAAATATTGGCACGTTATCACCAGTTATCGCCATCGCTCCAGTTTTATTAGAGTTCACTGATGCCATGTGATCTGACGTTGCTACTTATTTCCCAACAGGCATGGATGACGGCCAAAGCATCATCAGAAGATCAACACAACTTTCCACCACGACAGTTTCGCTGGCGAGCACACACGCAGAGCATTGTGAGTTTACAAGTCGTAAGTCAATTTCAACAAGATCACTTCATTCTCTCGGCCTCAACTGACTGCACAGCGAAACTTTGGACCATAAATGGTGTTCCTATAGGAATGTTTGATCAGGTAAACTACCTTCATGTTTTTTGTATGCGGCCGTAGCATACCATACCATTCCATCCCATAACATCCGATCCCATAACATCCCATCCCTTAACATCCCATCCCTTAACATCCCATCCCATACCATACAATACCATACAAAACCATACCATACCATACCATACCATACCATACCAAAAACCATACCACACCATACCATACCATACCATACCATACCATACCATACCATACCATACCATACCATACCATACCATACCATACCATACCATACCATACCATACCACACCACACCACACCACACCACACCACACCACACCACACCACACCACACCACACCACACCACACCACACCACACCACACCACACCCACACACACACACCACACCACACCACACCACACCATTCCATACCATACCATACCATACCATACCAAAAACCATACCATACCATACCATACCATACCATACCATACCATACCATACCATACCATACCATACCATACCATACCATACCATACCATACCATACCATACCATACCATACCATACCATACCACACCACACCACACCACACCACACCATACCACACCATTCCATACCATACCATACCCTGGAACAAGACCATTTTATACCATTACCAGGGGCTTTTTATGGTACTTACCTACTGCCATATTAGGAGTCAATATTGTCTTTGTTCATTGTAGGACCAAACTTGGAACATAAGCCAATTCTTAGCATCTGAATATACTGAAGAAAAACCCGAAGAAAAATCTGAAAAGAATTTGAATGGCGTCGTTCCAAAAAATCACAAAAGAAGGTACAGTATATTATAAAATGACCTGTATATAAGTAATATAACGCGTGTTCTGATTAGTTGAAGACGAAGCCCGTGTTTGGATTAGGCCATGCAAACACGGAAATTTAATTCGCATTTTGAAATCAAACTTGGAACACTACCTTGATGTTGTGTTGGATGACCTGATTTAAATACATGGGAGTAAGTAAAAGCTCGAGTAAGAAAAGCTGTATAAGCTGGCCAATACGCCGGCATAGTAGCAACCTCAATATAGAGATGGTCAAGTGGCGATTGATCTACTCCACTCGAAAATTGAAATCGCTATATAATTATTATAATCTTTCCTGTCAAATATTTCCTGAAATGGAAAACCTGCACAGCCTGTAATCTGCCCGCGACCTGAAGTCCAAAATCTCATTTCAGACCGCATACCAGTGACGACGTCTTTACATCAAGTTCCCAGACATTGCTCAAAACCTCAAGAAAACCATCTTCAGAGTGGACAAGCAACGATTCGGTTGGAATAGAGAGATCGTTAACAGAATCGGTTTGTTTTCTAGAAATTTCAAAACATGCTTAGCTTTTATATTTTACCGCCAAAGATGCTAATTTTTTCCTTACGCCTTGCAGTGGATCCTGGGAGACAAATACAACAAATCATTTGAACGTCGTATGATGGATAGAAAGACCAGGAGGGATAACCTAGGACACGTAGATACATCTTTAACAACAGGGGGAGGATTAGGGACATCTTGCTCTCCTTTTCAGGCCCTCTATCTACTCACTTCTGACGAGTTCGAGTTACCACGTGACCTACCTTTTACTCCCCGAATGAGGACCGGAAGTAAATTATTATCAGATCGCGATGATTCCTGGAAAAACAATCAAGCGTCGCTAAATTTGCCGCCGATTTTGTCGGATAACAATGACTGACAGTTAGACGACTCTAAAAAGCAGATATATTTAATGAACCATAATATTCCACCTCGCTTCCGGATCCAATTCAGTGAATTCAATTATGCTATTCAGTGATTTTAGTGTACAGAAACGGATTTGTAGGTCTAAATCAGTGATTCTTAAAATCTTTTAATACAACTGAAAAAATACAAAAGGAATGAGACCTTTCTTATTATGATGTGAAACGTGGAAAGTCTGATGTTACCCGAAATTTGATTGGCTCCACAAAACTATCGAGCCAATCAAACTTCGTGTACATCAGACGTCTTTTCCACGTTTGACGTTCTTCCATTTTTGTCTGAATGGCAGTTAAATGTCTTTGTGTTTTAAACAATAGCAATTTTGTCATGTATAGCAATAATAGCAAACGTTCGACGTTTGGAAATTGGAATGAAATATTTCAGCTTAAAACTCAGCTCAAACGTTGTGATTATAGATTCGACAGATTCACTGGCAGTTATCGTTCTAGTTGCATTTAGGTCTCTGAGTAAATCACGAAAAATACACAAACAAATCGTCAAGTATTGGCATCTTCAGACCGGAACTGGGTGATTTTTAACCAATATAATATGTATAACCCATAACAGACCATCATTCAAAATGGTTTTGCTCTATTGGTCAGTATGTAAGTATAACTTCAACCTCTCGTGATTCAGGTCAGTGATCGTCAATCCATGTAACTGTTTACGGTCTCTGGCTCGCTGGCTCTCCGCCCCCTTTAAGTTGTGTACATACCTCCGGGGGTCATTTTACCGTATAGCTTAAACGCAATTGTTTTTCAGATAGTATCTGGCTATGCTCAATTTTTACGCACGAAAACGCCGATTTTATGTGGATTTCATCATGAAATTTGACAAGTTGATGATCTTTTTCGGCATCCTCAGCATCTCAGGTAAGAATTTAACCATTTCAAACGATATAAAAGAAGTGCATTTACTATCAAATTTGAATAATCCCACGTGTCAAGTCATGCCTGCCGTTCGTTATTTTAAACACACTTTAGTTGCCGAATAAAACTGTTTCGGTCTTTAGGGAATATTGCGTATGTTAGGCCAAAATAAATGAATTCATACTTGAACATTCTCTAAGTGTAACCGAACGAGATTTTGCAGATTAAAAAAGTGTCAACAGACCATATCTTAGACGAGTCAAGCGGGCGACACTTTAGAATTTAATACTTTAACGGCGAGTTCTTTAAATATACAACATGTTTTACTACACTTCAATATGTATAAATATGCCTATAAGCAAGCACGATAGTTTCACAGAATATCAGGAAGGTTTGTATTAGTATTGTATTAATATATGCCAAACTTTGCCAGTTTTAATTAACTTTTTTGTTATCACAAATGATACCATGGTAATTTGGTTATTGTCACATGCCAGAAATTAGATTATTGTCACCGAGACAAAAGATTAGTCTGCGAAAAAAGATTAGTCGCGATGACCTCTAACTATAATTTAACTAGAAGAAAATAGAACATAGATGCCCTTTATTCAGCTCCACAGATTGCCTACCTGTGGGGTCGTTGAAAGGTTGAGTGCCACTTTTTTTCAATTCTTTCTCCGCTAAGTATCAAATGTGATATTTCTACTCATTTTTGATCAGCCAATCACATTTAACTGCAAATGTCTGTAGTAAACATTCATATTTAACATAAGAATAGGCAAAGTTATATGAATATTGTTTATCTTTAGTTGCCAGCCACGTTATAATATTGTATATAATCGCTTACACTTACAAAATTGAGCAGCATCTAAAATCTGTCAAGCAGCTAATTAATTCAATATTTCTGAAAAAATATAACAAATGTATGTGGCAAATGTGGTAGAAAGGAAAGAGTTATAAAGAATATCTGAAGATCTTTTTCAACAAATTTAAACAAGAGGATATCATTCGCATGACATTTGTTTGAGCTTTAAATTTTACTCTGTTTTTCATCCTACGATTTTCCTATTGCATTTGTGAAAAAACAATGTACCTAAAGTTATGCCTGAATGTAATATACGTCTTTTTTGCCAGAAATGTATATTTCATCCTATTAGTACTCTAAGTTGCATATTTTTTATTTCTAACAGCGTACCCGGTTCATTGCCAAACTACCACCCTTATTGCCGAATTCAGAAGTCAGCAAGCAAATGGCACTATGTCATTCTCTAAAACTGGTGAAGGAAATGTGTCCATTTCCCGTGATATTGGTTTACAAGGCAATAATTACAAGTTTATGATTCACGAGTTTCCAGTAAAATATAATGGTCCAATGACTGAGATATGCAAGGATGAGAATATTGGAAAAGTTTATGGCAATTTTTCCGACAGATTAAATTTTAATGGAGGCAATGTTATCATGGTTGATAATCTTCCATTGTTGGGACAAGACAGTATATATGGTCGTAGTCTGGTTATTCATGAAAAAAGCGAAGTTATTGCATGTGCAACAATAAAATCAAAGGTTTCTTCAACAAAAAGCCTCGTCGGTGTTTTTCAAGCTGTCTCCCCTGGAATCGCCGGAACTATTGTTCTGCGTCAAGCTGCTGATGAGCCAAATTCAGATACAACTGTCGATATCAACCTGCTGTTAGTTGATGCAAGAAGTGAGGCCATGGCAGGTCTCTCCTTGGCTGTTTATAAAACTGCTTCGACTAGTGACACAGATGGCTCATGTGATGGTGTTGAGGAAATGTTTAACCCTCTTGGAAAGACATCCTGTGACAGCAGGAACCATGGTACATGCCCAATTGGTGACCTGTCAGCAAAGTTAGGATTGCTTGAAGTTCCTTTGCCAGGAAAAGGAAAACAACATTCGTTATATATTGATACAAATCTTCCATTATCTGGTGAGAACTCTGTAGCCGGTCGATCGCTTGTGATTTTATCAAATGGCAAACCATTGATATGTGCTAAAATACAAGAGTACCAAGAAATGAAATCTGAAGTGACCTTTGGAGATAATGGGGGACTGAGTGGGAACATTGTGTTCACTCAAAGATCATTGTATGAACCTGTAGTGGTAAATGGGAGTCTCAGTAGTGAATCTGCTAAGATAAGTGTCTACAAACAACATGATTCAGATTGCAACAAAAAAAGGCTGGGAAAGCTAATCGCCACTGATATTAAACTAGGTATGGATTTTTGTTTTGTTTTGAACTCTTCCCTTTGCATTGAACAGATTAATCTTAATTTTATGATGCTCAAGTAATGATATTTTGATGTTAAACAGGTAACACACCAAATGATGAGCTGACAATGTATGGCCCAAACAGCCTCATGTTCAGATCATTACTAGTGACAAAATCTGGATTGGAAAAGTGTGAAAAGATACAACCAAAGGATGCGACATTCCATCTTAAAGCCCAGGTTCAATTCAATGAAACATCAGCAGATGGTCTTATTGGCTCCATTAATCTTGTAAGAGAAATGTAATTTGTCTTGATTCAAATAAACACATATATAATTTGTTTACATTTAGTAATGGACCACTTGCAAAATAGACCAACTTTTGATTTAGGTGACAAAAAGGGATTTTCTGAAAAGGGCATACTAAATTTAGTAAAACTGCCAAGTTTGGCTGTAAAGTACCGAAGATATAGCCAAGTGAAGTTGGCAAATTTTGTATACTTTGTATTGCAGCCGGAAGAGTGTAACTAAATTAATTACACGCTTTCACTTGTATTAAAAAAGTATACAAAAATCACCTACTTCACATGGCTATATTTTTTGTACTATGTAACATTTTGCAGCCAAACTTGGCAATTATGCTAATTTTAATATGCTCGTTTTAACTGTGGTGATTTACTTCCCTCGTTTTACCTAGATCGCAAGTTGATCAATTATGCAAGTGCTCCATTGAATTTGCAATGATTAGCAATAGTAATTGACATATGATTTTTTCACTTTTTATTTAGGAGCAAGTTTTATTTAACAAATCAAAAGCCTTTGCCTACTCAATTTCTTTTCAGTTTTCTGTGTCTTACAGAAACACATCAAAGATTGTAAGTAATTCAAATCATGTTTTTGAAAATTTCTGAAAAATCAAATCACTAAAAAATTCACCCATAGAGTTCACAGGGTGGCCCCATCTCATCTACTGGTGAGGGAAACTATTTCAAAATGCCCAGCACAAGTCACATCCAAATTTAGGAAGTTGGTAAACTAAAGTTTTTTGAGGTGCACAACTTCTGAAATTATCCCCTGACCATCTAGAGTTCGGGGGCATTGATGGAGTGTCCTGTGATAACTTTTATAATAAGTAATGACAAGCTTTTCCATCCCTGTGTATATGAGACTATGTAGCTAATGAGTTTAGTTGCCTCCATCCATACAGGTATACTTGACTTCAATTTTTTGGATATAGTTTTGTCAATATAGATAATTAGGCATTTGTGACATAATGTTATCATCTAGGTGTGTGTATATGTAAGGTAACATAGGTGTATACGTCACATACCCCCACACCACATCCCTGGTTACCACACTCCCAGTTACCACACCCCTGGAAGGTGAAGCCTAAGTTATTCCTTATTGCTTCTTATTAGACCAATGGTCATAATTGGCATGTACATATATCTGAAGTTGGTGGTGACGGGAAAATGGTCATTGGAAAGAAGTGCATGAGTTGTCAAGGACATTATAATCCTTATAAAGTTTATATCCCGGTAAGTTTTATACATATCGAATTTGAACACTGGATCACAATATGTTCACAATCAACTTTAGTATACAGGCTTGGGTACTGGTTAGTTAACAGGGAGGTCATGTAATCTTTGGCTTGTATATACACAGGTATTGCCTACCATAGTTAATTTGATTTTATTTCCAACAAATTCACGGCTCAAAGTAACGGCTGAGATATCTCCAATGAAAGTGATCCGTTCATTTTGGCACGTTTTTTGAACAGGATACACACAATTATCACAAATTAACAAAACCAAACAACCTCGCTCCAGTTAACTTTATTTTTGCTGGGTCAGCATTACTGGTCACTAATACATTTTAGGACAATATGAGTGTCCTGCGTCAACAAACCATTTTGGGCCGGTCATTTGAAAACGTATTTTGAAAAAACTGTTGTCGTTTCACAACCAAGTTTTGTTTAAAACTTATTCCACTGCATATAGTCTAAAAGACTAAATATAGAAGAAATGCAGTTGAACCAGCGCGTCGAGAAGATTTCATGTTTTGAACGTTTTTCCGCCACAATATACCCGACAGAGATCTGCTCTGAAACCATCTCTGTTTCTCTAGCATAATAACTATGATACAACATGTAACCCAAGTAATCCATTTCGCTGTGAACTTGGTGACATGTCGAAGAAACTTGGCACATATGACATCGGTGGCGGACAGAAACTGTTTATCGAGATTGAAAATTACCTCGCTAGTTGGCACAACGGTGAGTATATTAGAAACTGTTTTCTGTTTCAGCGGATGGTAGCTTAATAGCTGGGTTTCAGTCACGTGACAGATTTAGCACTTGTGGTTGACCCCAGGGGCCAGTTGTTCAAAGCTAGGTTAGCGCTAACCGTGGGTTAAATTTTAATCATGTGTTTTAGTCTATGTGCTTCTGAACCACTGTTCGTTTCGAAACTTTATAAAATATGACTTCTATCAGTCCAGAAAATATTTATGAAGGCTCCACAAGACATAATTCAGCAATATGTGTGAGGTTGGCTACCAAGTGTTTCGCTATGTATTAGTCTTGAGTGAAACCCACCTATATAACCAGGGAGCAGCGTGGCGGCGTCTTCAAACAACTTAGCGTCAAGTGTGGTATAACAACTGCCTAAAATAGACAAAACACTTCTCGACGTCGAAACTAACTCCCCTGACGAAGGTCCACAGGTCGAAATGTCGAGAAGTGTTTTGTCTATTTGAGGCAGTTCAAGGCAGTTGTTATACCACATTTGATGGTAGGTTAAGGCGGTTTTCCACTAGGCGGAATTTTTCGATGGAACGAAATTTTTCGCTCGATTTTCTGAAAAACCGGCTTTAAGAAAACCTAGGGACAAGAAACTTGGCCCAGAATTAGGTGCAGTGTGAACCAATCTGACCAAATCTAGCAAATTAATTCACCAGATCAAATGTCTTCTTGTCTCTGGTCTTCTAAAGCATTCTTTCCTCACAATTACACGCTTATTTGAAAAATAAGATCCTTGCATTCCAGTCAACAAAGTGTTTTATTTTTTGTCCAGTTATTGGTAGATCAATGGTGATCCACGTCAAGAACAAAGGTCCTGAACGGTTAGCTTGTGCTGACGTACTCCCCCAAGAGAAGACTTCAGGCTACAGTATGGAAACATTGGACGTTAGAAACACTTCAAAAACAAGGTAGAAATTGCCCTCGAATTGCCCGTTTTATCAGCTGCCCTAAGCTGATCATCGGGCGTTGATTGGAGTACTAGCACTAGCAAAAAATTATAAAACTGAGATCACAAGGTGCAACATGTCTGCCTCGGAATACTCTGAACTTCCAAATTCACTTGGTCGCTTTTTAGGTCCCTTTCTTTAAGCGGTCAAACTCGTCATAATTTCCCCGTGCTGAGCAGATGTAAATAACGGTATACTTGAACGATGCCTTTTGATTGGTTCTTAGGTTTTGGCGGGAAAACTCGTTTGAAGAATTTGTTTTGTAAAACAGATTTAATAAGTCAGAATGTTAGCGAGTTAATCTTGGTGCTTTTTATTATCCTGCAAGAAAAATAAATGTCTTGGGACGACATAATTCAAAATACATAAACCTAAGTACAAAATAAACGTCGTCCACCATCGTTGAAGTAATTCGAGATTTTGTTTTTGTCAATAACATATATTTCCGCGTCATTTTTTCAGGGATACAGCGTACTTTCAGAAAGTAATTTCAGAAGCTTTGAATATCGAATTATGGCGTGTTGCTGATGCGAAGTTCGAGCGATTGGAGGATAATAAAGAATGTATGAAATACAAGTTTTTATTGATTGGTAAGTTGTCACAACAATAGCGTAAGTTCAGTTTCCTCAGTCAACTCTGGTACAATGGCTCATGTCGAGTTTGAAACTGAAGCTTTTGTAAGACTAGGTGGTGTAGGAATTTCAAGACTATCCGAAAGCAAAAAATTGAAAACTAAAATTAAGATTTGCGTGTAATTTGCCGCCTTTGACCGAGTTGCAGTTGTCTTTAAAATTTCA